CCACTTGTGTGAGTGTGTGTGTGTGTGTGTGTGTAGATAGATGATAGATAGATAGATTATAGAAAAATTATTATATTTCTATTATTTATCCCAACAAAATATATAAAAACACAGTAAAAGTTCAAACATCAAAAACTTCCCTGTACCAGTGGCTGCCTTCAGATGTCTTCTAAAAGTTGTGTAATTCTTTATCTCTTTCACATCCGATGGGAGGATGTTCCACAAGGTGGGTGCCACTATGAATAAGGCCCTCTGCCTGGTTCATAGCTGTCAACTCTTCCCTTTTTTAAAGGGGAATTCCCTTATTCCGAATAGGATTCCTTGCAAGAAAAGGGAAAAGTTGACAGCTATGGCCTGGTTCCCTGTAGCTTCACTTCTCGCAGTTAGGGGACCACCAGAAGGCCCTTAGAGCTGGATCTCAGTGTTTGAGCTGAACAATGGGGGTGCAGACACTCCTTCAGGTATATGGGGCCAAGGCTGTTCAGGGCTTTAAAGGTCAGTATCAACACTTTGAATTGTGCTCAGAAATGTACATGCGCTTCAATATTTCTCTGATTAAAATAAGGACATCCCATTCCATAATGATAATTTTACTATTTATTCCCCACACATCTTATTGGGTTGCCCCAGCACTCTGGGCAGCTTCCAACATATATAAAAACATAATAAAACATTAAAATTTAAATACCTTCCCAATATAGGATTACCTTCAGATGGCTTGGGGGTTGGATAACTCCATACACTCCAACATTTCTCCAGTGAAAATAGGGACATCCTAAGGAAAAGCGGGACATTCCAGGATCAAATCAGAAACCAGGACAGCTTCTCTAAATCAGGGATGTCCCTGGAAAATAGGGACTATTGGAGTGTCTGAATGTACTGGGAGCCAATGTAGATCCTTTAGGATTGTTGTTCTATGGTCCTGGCAGCTGCTCCCAGTCACCAGTCTAGCTGCTGCATTCTGGATTGTAGTTTCCAAGCCATCTTCAAAGATAGCCCCACATAGAGCACATTGCAGTAGTCCGATAACCAGAGCATATACCACTCTGGCGAGACAGGGTGCAGGCAGGTAGGGTCTCAGCCATTGTACCAGGTGGAACTAGTAGACAGCTACCCTGGACACATAATTAACCTGAGCTTCCATGGACAGCTACATGGGTGTAACTAATGGGGTGCAGGGGGCAGCCCCCCGCCCCCAGGTCAAGTAAAACTATCTAACTGACCAATCATCTTCCCCTGAACCAAGCCCTGTCCCCCCAACAAAAATCCTGGCTACACCCATGGACAGCTAAGTCCAAAATGACTCCAAGGCTGTGCACAGTTATTCAGGACCAGGGAGTCCCCCACACCTACCCATCCTGTGTCCCCCAGAAACAGTCCTACCATCCATCCTCCAACTGCATCCAGTCACTCACTGGTTCCGATTTAAACAAGAGGTAGAGCTGGGTACCATCCACATATTGGTAAATACCCAGTCCAAACCCCTGATGATCTCCCTCAGTGGTTTCATATAGATGTTGAAAAGCATGGGGTAGAGTACGAAGCCCTGAGGCACCCCACAAGTGAGTGCCCAGGGGTCCAAACACTCATCCCCCTACACCACTTTCTGGACATGGCCCAGAAGGAAGGAGCCTAGGTTGATGGTATCAAAAGGTGCTGAGATCCAGCAGAACTAGGAAACAGCTTTCACCTTTGTCCCTAACCTGCTGGAGATCATCTACTAGGCAGTTTCAGTCCCATGATGGGGCCTGAATACTGATTGGAAGGGATCCAAATGGTCCACATCCCTCAGACGTGCCTGGAGTTGTTCTGTGACCATCTGCTCAGTCACCTTGCCCAGAAACGGAAGATTTGAGACTGAGTAATAATTGGCTATAATGGCCAGGTCCAAATCGGGGCAGAAGAAGGGGTGGGGTGGGGCAGACCGCCCCAGGTGTCTTCGCTGAGGGTCCTAAGCCTACCCTGAGCTGTCGGGGGGAAGGAGGAGGAGCTGCGCCACTTTGCCAGCAGCATTCCCCCCTTCCCCTTCATTTTGACAGCTTGAGGGAGGCTTGGGAGTTGCGACAGGAGGTGTGCCGAATGTCCACCATCGGTGGCTCACTCTGCCCCCAGCTGCAGGGCACACATGCCGCTCCATGCGCCCAAGCAGCTATCCTGCGCCATGGAGGGCACCCTCTGCGCCCCTCGCCCCTCGGGAGCACGCCTGCCCTGGGCAGCGCGGGCATATGCTCCACCACTGGTCCAAATATGGTTTTTAAAGAAGCGGTTTAATTATATAATTTGTTTGTGCATGCTATAATATATATTGGTGGTGCACAATGAGATAGTTAAACTTTATGAAAAGTATAAAATCATAAATTGCAGAACAAATTACCAATGCTGAAACAAATTAATTCTCTAAAAATGTTAGATTAAAGCTCTCTTGCTGTTGTTTTTTTTAAGGAAGGCTCACACCTGTATTATGGAATAGGAGGGCACAGTGAGGCATGGACACAATTGCACCTGAGTGCTGTCTATGGATCTGTGGAGTTCTGGCAGCTCTCGTGTTTATTGGGGAGCTCCAGGCAAGGATAAAGGCTTGGAAACAGCTGGAGTGCAAGGGGTGCAATATCTGTTACAGGTGTGACTGCCCAAACATATGTAAGACCATATGATTGTGCCTGCTATGGTGACAAAGAAGGCCTACTTTGCTGCGTTCATAAAATCCTCAAGTAGTTGCCCAGTAGAGCAATTTCCATTTTCTGAAACAGTATAGGAACTGAACCATGGTCATCTTTCAAAACTTTACCTTCTCCAAATTTTGCAGTGTAGTTCTCCAGCCAAGCTATGTGCACAAACTTGCGTAGACTAAAGTATGCATAAAAAATATACATATTTGTGAAAATATCACATAAAAATGCATTATGTTGGACCACATTTGACTCCTCGTTGCAGAAGAAAGGCTTTTTGGTTTGGGATGGTCTTTACTGACCATTTCTCCCCAAAAACAGCTTATGGAGAATAAGTTGAGGGGAGTCAGGGATGGAACTTGGACTTCCCATTCCTCTCCCTCCCATCAAATAAAACAAGTCTTCAGCTAGTATTTAAGAGAATCTGCTCTACATTTAATCTGGAGAAGAGACATTTTAGAGGCAAGACAACAGCCACCTTTAAATATTTAAATATTTTAAGATGGAGTCAGCTTTTCTCTTGCTCAGGAGGGGAAACTTGAACCAAGAGCTAGGATCTCAGCTAAACTTTATGGCACGACCTTAAGAAGTGCATCCCCCACTGACCTCCAACTCTGAGCAGGTATATAATGGACCACGAAGCCTTTCAGGTTTCTGCCAGTCTTTATGGGCTGCAAAACTCTTTGCTGCAACCAACTAACATGATTACCTCTCTGTACAGTTTTAAATTTTATCGCTTATATACAGTGGTACTTCTAGTTACAAACGCCTCAGGTTACAAACGCTTCAGGTTACAAACTCCACTAACCTGGAAGAGTTATCTTGAATTGAGAACTTTGCCCCAGGATGAGAATGGAAATTGTGTGCCGGCGGCACAGTGACAGCAAGAGGCCCCATTAGCAAAAGCACGTCTTTAGTTAAGAACAGTTTCAGGTTAAGAATGGACCTCTGGAACTAATTAAGATGTGGTACCTCTAGTTACGAACCTAATTTATTCCAGAGGCCACCGGCACAAGATTTCCATTCTCATCCTGGGGCAAAGTTCTCAACTCAAGGTAACTCTTCCAGGTTAGCGGAGTTTGTAACCTGAGGCGTTTGTAACTCGAGGTACCACTCTACTGCCCTTTATCAAAAGACCACAGGGCGGTTTACATTACAACATAGGTTTCCAAGCTCCCCACCACCTGAGATGGGCTACTTGAAAACTGCTGGGGGTCTTGGCAGACTACCTACCATATTTTTCGCTCTATAAGATGCACCTGACCATAAGACACACGTAATTTTTAGAGGAGGAAAACAAGAAAAAAAATATTCTGAATCAAATGTTGTTGAAGAAGAAGGAGGAGGGAGGATCAGGCTAAGGCATCACGACAAGAGTGATCTTATGGAGTGAACACAGGCTGCGCAGCAATCCCTCTTGCTGTTCTGGCTTCAGCGAAAGCAACGCAAAGCCTTTTCAGCAAAGCGGGACAAGCAAGAGGGAGAGCTGCGCAGCCTGCGTTCACTTCATAAGACGCACACACACTTCCCCTTACTTTTTAGGAGGGAAAAAAGTGCATCTTATAGAGCGAAAAATACGGTAATTGTTTTCTGCCTGCTGTAGCAATGTGCTGCAGTAGATGCTGTATGCTTTTACATTTTATTTTTATTGCTTGCTTCATGTAAAGAGCATTTTATTGGAATACAGTTTGAGTCCACCTTGTCAGGAAACAGCACTAACACGCCTTTGTCATGTGCACCCAGTATATGTATACTGATGCCCTGATATAGCAGGCGTGATATTTCCAGCCCAAGGGCCACATTTCCTACTGGGCAGCCTTCCGGGGGCCACGTGCCAGTGGTGGGCAGAGCCAGAAGCAAAAGCAAGTGGAGCAATTGATGTAAATGTTGCCTTTGTATAACAGGCTAACATCTTCACACGCACCCATTCCTCTCCACTCAGTCTAGTAAGAGGCATTGCCAGAGTTTCCAGCACACATTTGAGCCTGGCAAAGACATTCAAGGACACTGTGAAGCAGGGTCAGTAGGGAGTGTGGCAGGGGAGTGGGTGTGATATGATGAGAATATTTTCTTTCCCCAAGGAATGTATATTATATTCAGACAGTGTTAACCAAAGCACCGGAGTGGCATTCTTTGGTTGTGTGACCTTGGGAGAAAACACAACACAAGTGGTCTTTTGGCCTGAGCCATGTACTCTGCTCACAAAGTTCAAAACATTTTGTTATACATCCAATGAGTATGTTGCTGTTTTAGTTGCTGCTCCATATGGCCAGGCTGCTCCTGGGTTGTTACCAACACAGTCTATGTTGAAGGAAGGGGAAACTGCAGGTTTCAGCTGTCTTTACCAGACTTGTGCTTTTTTATTTTGCTGTGCTCCTCATGATAAGAGCCTAGGGAGGAAACATCCAGGTCTCTCTCTGTCCTGGCTTCACTTGGGAAGCTCTGACCTTCAGCTGGTACCTGCTTGACAATCATGTTGATATGGGATGTTTGCAGATATTTGGCAAAGACCTGCTTGTCCTCTTGAGAGCAGGGTTCCATAACAGAGTCTTCAGGAAGGTCAGCTGAGAGAGGCAGCTCCAGACAAGAAGGCAAGAGCTTCCCCTCCAGGTTGGGCAGAATCCTGGGGCATACATGGTACAGCAGGCGGCTGTAGCTGGACATGATCATCATGTCCCCGCTGTGCATGAACATAGCCACAGGGGCTTCATCTCGTTTCAGCCCCCCTAACAAAAATATGGATGACTGTCCAATACTGAATGATAGAAGTGGCTGAAAACAGTCCAATTTGGACTCATCCACATGAATTCCCAGAGATGAATCAAAGTGATGGTAGTTCAGAATCCCTGCTTCCCCTTGGAAATGTGGAAAACCACAAGCTTTAGCGCCTTGCTCCGAGAGGAAAGCCAAGTCAGATGGAAAGGGGCTGTAGTGGTTGGCTGAATATTTATTTGTATTCCATTTATAATGGTGACACAAAGTCACCCAGCAAAGCTTTTCCAGTAAAGTTCTTGAGGCCCATTTGCTGGAACTTTTGTTTTGCAACTGATGCTGACTTTCCCCCCACAGATCAGCGGTCTCCGCAGAAGATAAGCACATATCCAAATTGCACACATTAGGCTTCTGGGTGTACGTCTTCAGGCACTGCTTCACTAGTGATGCTGGCAGCCTGGAATGAAGGGATCTGGGGTAAATATAACCCCTGGGTAGTTATTGAGACCATAGGCTTTCCATTGGCTGGAAGCAGTCTTGCTCTGTAAGCATTGTGATCACTTACTGAAGAAAAACTCAGGGGAGAGCTGACAATCTGAGGAGTTAGTCAAGAATTCCACACCTCAGTACACCTTTTATGGGTGTCTGGCCTTTTGTTGTTGTTGTTTAGCTGTTTAGTCGACTCTTCGTGATCCCCTGGACCAGAGCACGCCAGGCACTCTTGTCTTCCACTGCCTCCCGCAGTTTGGTCAAACTCATGCTGATAGCTTTGAGAATACTGTCCAACCATCTCGCCCTCTGCCGTCCCCTTCTCCTTGTGCCCTCCATCTTTCCCAACATCAGGGTCTTTTCCAGGGAGTCTTCTCTTCTCATGAGGTGGCCAAAGTATTGGAGTCTCAGCTTCACGATCTGTCCTTCCAGTGAGCACTCAGGGCTGATTTCCTTAAGAATGGATAGGTTTGATCTTCTTGCAGTCCATGGGACTCTCAAGAGTCTCCTCCGGCACCAAAATTCAAAAGCATCAATTCTTTGGCGATCAGCCTTCTTTATGGTCCAGCTCTCATTTCCATACATCACTACCGGGAAAACCATAGCTTTAACTATACGGACCTTTGTTGGCAAGGTGATGTCTCTGCTTTTTCAGATGCTGTCTAGGTGTCTGGCCTACCCACCCCTAAAAAAACTCACCCCCAGCTCTGCCACAGGAGAAGCCTTTCCAACTGCATCCATCTGGCATTCCTGCTCAGCAGCAAAAAAGAAAAAAAAGATGGTGAGAATCTTAAAGGACAAACAGAGAGGCTTGGAGGTCAGCATTCAGCCTCTAGGCTTCAGGTTCTCCACCCCTGCTATAGAGCTTTAGAAGTATTTTTTTAAATACTGAGCTCAATTCATATACACCTAGCTATGCAGATGATGTAGCATATATTCTTGTTGCATATAGGACACTGTATTTGAAGAATGCATGTTTTGACATACACATATTTAAGAATTGGCAATATATTTATTTACTGTCAGACTGTTTGATGCCTTTTGTTGTAGTATGAAATTAAATGGAGCTGTGTCAATAACCACAAACAGATTTCCCTGCCTCACCTTTGTGAATTACGTAGTCATATCTGCAGTGAATTATCCATATTTGCATATTTCTCCCTGTTCTGGTGTCTTGTATAGAAAAAAAAATTCCATCACAATAATTAAGTTTTAAAGATTTACTTCAGAAACTTGATTTAAATGTTATGAAAACAGTAATTGATACATTGTCTCAGTTATAATTTCCCTTCTTACATGCACTGGTTCCAGTATAAAGCTCTAGAACATCTCAAACAGGTTTTCTAGCTAAAAATAAATGAACTTTGTCCCTTTCTGTTTCCTGCTTGCTTGCATCTTCGGCAACACCCAGAGAAGATCTGTGTCAGCTTGCAACAACTCTGTGACTCCGAATGGGCTACTTCATAAACCTAAATAAACATTATGAAATTCTATCCAAAGATCCATGGCCAGTCACAATTCTAGCCCATGGAATATATTGCAATGGAAAAATACAAGCTCTCATCATGTGTTCATAGATTTTTCACAGTAACTTAAAATACAATAAAATTACTATTTTATGTAACATTAAAAAACTTCAACAACCTTCTCTCTGTTGCAGGCTCAGCAGTGGAACAGATGCTGGTGTGGATCTCAAGCTGGAAATGATGTTCCGTTTTCGAAGAAGAACTTTTTTAGCTACAGGGGTATGTCTGGTGGCTCTTGCCTCTATACTAACACTTTCCTACTACCGGATACAGAAATATGCTTTACTACCCAAACTTGTTGCACAGAAAGAAAAAGACCTCTGCAAAGGATGGGTCACCAATAACTCAATCTCTGCTTTGAGTGACAACAGATCTTTTATCATCACTCCATACTTCGATGACAGGGTGGGAAAGCAGACGCGGGTGATTGGGATTGTACATCACAAGGAAGTTAAGGACCACTATTGCTGGTTTTGTTGCCCAGCTGAGGATGTGGCCTTTATCTCTAAGGCTGCAATAGAGTTCCACTTGGATCGTTTTGGATTTCCATATGTGGTCACAGACTTGATTTGTTTGGAACCCTCACACTGTGAGCCTCGTTACATGGCATTGCAGTCATCTGGCGAAGGATCTGACAGTGGCATGTCACCACGGTTTGAAATAAAAAATCGCCAGCGACAAAGCACTCTGGTGGACTTCACAGTGTGCATCTCCACCATGTTTGGAGACTATAACAACATCCTCCAATTCGTGCAGAGCATGGAAATGTATAAACTCCTTGGAGTGCAGAAGGTGGTGATCTATAAGAACAGCTGCAGCCAGTTGATGGAGAAAGTCCTTCAATTCTATGTGGTGGAAGGTACTGTGGAGGTGGTGCCCTGGCCAATCACATCCTATCTCAGTGTTTCTAATGAATGGCATTTCACGAATGATGGGACCAAAATTGGCTACTATGGACAAATCGCTGCTCTGAACGACTGTGTCTACCGGAATATGTACAGGAGCAGGTATGTTCTGCTGAATGACATTGATGAAATTATTCTTCCCGTTCAACATATGGATTGGAAAACCTTGATGCAAAACCTTGAGAAACAAAATCCGGAGATTGGTATCTTCCTCTTTGAGAACCACGTTTTCCCAAATAATGTCTTCACCTTCCCCCCTGTTCATGTTCCACATTCTTGGAATATGGTACCTGGAGTCAACATCCTGCAGCATGTCCTCCGAGCACCAAACAAGAAAGAGGTCATAAACCCAAGGAAAATGATTGTTGATCCGAGGAAAGTGGTTCAGACATCTGTTCACTCTGTCCTTCAGGGGATTGGAGGCAGTGTGGAAGTCCCTGCAGATGTTGCAATTGTCTTCCACTGTCGGTCTCCTTTACAACCAGATTTGCCCAGGGAATCCCTGATCAAGGACACAATACTCTGGAGATATAACACATCACTAATAGGCAGAGTTAACAAAGTGCTACAGAAGATACCATTTGAAGTGGTGAAGTAGTAAACACAGGAAACATTACTGATATTTCCCGTTGGAGGTTCACCCAAAAAGTATTTGGGAGCAAGTTGTACAGGATGAATTTCCAATGCATGTTCAAGAGAGGAGTATCATGAATTCAAAAGGAACATGTTTGTTCTTGACTTTCTTGAGAATGTGATTCAGGGAGCTACAGAAAAAGTGATGGCATAATTTGTCATGCATTGCAAAAGTGCACTAGATATGGGAAATGATGGGTCAGAGACCCAGTGGTCCGTCTGTGTCAGCATCCCATCTATGATAGCAGCAAGATTTTTCTGAGGTCATGGATCAAAGTCAAGGGTAGCCATCAAAGGCACCATCCTTTTTGCACTGAGCTCCTAGCAACAATTTTAAGGATTAGGGTTATATTCACTTTTAGTTCTGCTCATAATAGACCCATTGTAAAGAATGAACATGACTAAGTGAGATCCATTAATTTCAATGGGTCTCCTCCAAGTGCAACTTAGTTGAATACGACCCATCCTTGATGAAGGATCTGTTTAACTCATCCAGTACTGTGTGTAGTCTGTATATAAATATATCAGATATAAATATAAATATCAGTGTCATATGTGCATATCATATATATAATTGCAGAATGCTTCTGTTCAAAATTCCAGCTGATTGTGCCCTTTTCTAGGTTATTCCATTCTGTCCATCTTCCCAATATTCCATGGTCCATGAGTACACAGTCCTTGTGGTTCTCCCAAATGAGCTGCTATCTCCTACTTTTATATGTGTGAAAATCTTGGCTACACAAGAAATGGCATGCACAGGCTGAATGATGGAAAAATAAAGAATAATACATCTAACACACAAAGAAAAAGGTGATGTGAACTCTTTACCACTTAGATGAGTTCTACAATCAGCATAATATATAGTTGTAGAAAAATTGTCACCTGCAAATTGAGTAGATTTGCAGGTTTGATATTATATTCATTACATAATTTATTCTAGTTTGACCTGTTAAGGAAGCAGCATGATACTATTCCGGAACCTTGTGTCAAGACCTACTGAGCATCTTAATCCGCTGCTCCCCTGACTATTTTGGTAGGCATTGCCTACACCTCCACACCCCCTGCCATGCAAATCCTTTAAACTACTGGGGGCTAGAAACCTATTTCTTCTCGAACAAACAACAGCAGAGATTCTGAGGCAGCTGCTTTCTGGACCCAGTAATGTGGTTCTGTTCTACCACAGACTTCCTCAGCTCAACATTACACAGTGTATCCAGCTGTGTTCTAGTCAGAGTCGACCCATGGAAATTAATGCATATTTATGACCATCAGTTTCAGTTTCCCCTTGAAACCTTGCATCGGGCAGGAGCAGGGACATGCGCACGGCATGGAGGTTTCACGAGGCGGCACTGTGCCCCCTGCCCACTTGGGCAGGGGGAAGCCCAGCCGGCCAACGTGGTCCTTGGCATGCGACCCCCCCCCCCAAATGAGGGGGCTAGAGATGTGGCAGTGAGGCCAGGCCCAGAGGCCCAGAGTTTCCGGGTGATAGGCGGGGGGAGGCAGGGATTCCTGCATGGAGGCACCTGTTTTGCACCCCCTCAAAATTGTGCACCTGGAGCTATGGCTTCCCTGCCTCCCCCCTTTGCCCCTGCTACCAGCTTTCTCCAACCTGATGCCCTCCAGATGTTTTTTGCCACAGGTCCCATTGGCCTCAACCAGCCCCAAGCCACATATTAACTGCAGTCTGCCTTTTTGTAATGCAGTTGATGAAAATACTTTCAGCACAATCCTTGTTGTTGTTTAGTCGTTTAGTTGTGTCCGACTCTTTGTGATCCCATGGACCAGAGCACGCCAGGCACTCCCGTCTTCCACTGCCTCCCGCAGTTTGGTCAAACTCATGCTGGTAGCTTCGAGAACACTGTCCAACCATCTCGTCCTCTGTCGTCCCCTTCTCCTTGTGCCCTCCTTGTGCAATCCTACTTGTGTTTATTTGGAAATAAGAGTCATTGTGTTCAAGGTGGCTTACTGCCTAGCAAGTCTGTTAGGGATTGCGGTCCTACTCATATAGATACTGTACCTTCCATTCTAGTTCTGTCCTAAGGACTGATGGTTTCTTTTAAATTTCCTGTTAGCCAGAGAAGTGAGAACTTCAGGATGAAGATTATAGCCAATCAATGTGGCTTTTTTTTTGCAGTTGCTGCAAGAAATAAGAAAACCAAGAGAGGATTTCCTAAAGCTGAATGCAGTTCAGTGGGCTCTCTGAATTGCATATCATACAACTACCATGTTGTATGGCTTTTGAATTCTGCTTTTGAGGTGCATGGTTGACCTATGTTTAGAACTCCTTGTTGAGATTCCAATCTTAACATCATTAAGGTGGGACTGACATCTTATTTGGTACCATAGAGTTGTGAGGGTCTTGTTTGATGCAAGAAATGATGGCTATGCTCTGCCTGCCCAGTCAGGAAGCAGCAATGCTGAATACCAGTTGCTGGAAACCACAGGGCAGGAGAGTGCTCTTTTGTTCGAATCCTGCTTGTGGGTTTCCTACAGGCATCTGGTTCACCACAGTGAGAACTGGATGCTGGACTAGATGGGCCACTGGCCTGATCCAGCAAGCTCTTCTTTGGTTGTCAAGTTATGAAGGGAGGCACAAAGGGTGGGGAGGCCTCCAACTCAGGGATCACATAATTCAGGTGTCCGCAGCCTTTTTGGGGCCTGTTGGCACAATTGGAAAGTTTTCTGTGGGTGTCAATCACAAATGGGTGTTATGGGGTGTGTGGCATAACACAAAATGGCAGCTGTGGGGGTATTATTATTTATTCATTATTACTATTGTGGTATGTTATTGCCATAGAAAGTTACTAATGTTCAGTAAGTGAGCCTGATTCCATTTCTCCCTATACTGTGACAGTGGTTCCACAGTTAAACCCTAGATTAAATGGAAAGTAGTAATAATGTGGCTTGTTTGTTTGCAATTAAACATAAGCCTGTTTTCAACCCATCATGAATGCTCTCTTGTACCATGACACCCAAGAACAGGTTATTTTCTTTATTGTGTCACTTCTGAAGGTTGTTAATGTTGTTGGGAGTTCAACTCCCATCAGCCTGGAATGATGGAAGTCATAGCTTAAAACATCTGAAGCCAGAGTTTCCCCCACTTATGTCATGTTCTTAAGAGTTACTGAGAACTGATTTTTGTATGTCAATTCTCAGTGACAGTTGAATATAGAGAAAACTGAAAAGTGGGGTGGGGTATGCAGTGGTACTTGACATATTGGGAAATGTGGAAAATCAGCATCTGGAGGGAGACTTTTTACCACATGTGAGAGATGTGTAGAAGAAAGGAAGACGTTACCAGTTATTGGAAGATAGTGGTGGAAGTAGCTGTAGAAATGTTCCAACCTAAACTATCCAGTGGTGTGCTTGCAGAATTATGAGTGTCAGGAGAAAAGCTAGTGGATAAAAATGTGTCTGGTGAGAAGAAAGTAGAGAGATTTCTTCTTCCTTGCCCATAATACTAGAACTCTGGGACATCCAATGAAGCTGACTATGGGAAGGACACAGGAGGACACACTTCTTCACACAGTGGGGAACCTCAGGCTGGAGTGGGGGGGGGTCAAATGTGGCCCTCCAGGCCTGTCTGGCCCTTGGAACATTCCCCAGGCCACACCTTTACAGTGGTGAGTGCTTTTGCATGGTTGGAATGTGTCCTTAAGTACCTGCTAATACTGTCTGGATGGAAGATGTGTACTATACTAAAGGTGACAGCTGCATTTGTTTCTCTGCATGTTTTTATCTCTGGATCTGCTCACCACTGCCATGTGTCCCTCAGAAGGTTGCCCAGAAGATAATGCAGCCCTCAAGCTGAAAAGGGTTCCCCTCACCTCTGGCCTAAACAGTGCAAAATGCAAGAACCTGCCCTATTCTGAGTCAGACTAATGGTCCAGCTAGTTGAGGGTTTACACCAACTGGCAGAAGTTCATCCCAGAGTATTAGGCAGGGGACACCTCCAGGCCTACCTGGAGATGCCACCTTTTGCAGTGTAGAGCAAATACTCTTTACTGAACAGGTGGTCTCATACTGTCAGCCAGGGGATGGTGGCCTGCCAAATACATTGCCTTTATGCTGGTAAATAATGCTTGACTCTGGAACAGATTTTATTTATTTATTTATTTATTTATTTAATTCATTCAATTTATGTCCTTCCAAAGGAGCTTAGGGTGGCATGTACAATACTGTGTGGCATTCCTGTCTTGCTTGTTGGGGCATCTGGTTGGCCACTGTGAGAGGTAAAGGTAAAGGACCCCTGGACGGTTAAGTCCAGTCAAAGGTGACTATAGGGTTGCGGTGCTCATCTCGCTCTTTAGGCCAAGAGAGCTGGCGTTTGTCCACAGACAGCTTCATGCGTCATGTGGCCAGCATGACTAAACTGCGACTGGTGCACGGAAGACCATGACGAGTGCCAGAGTGCATGGAAAAGCTGTTCACTTTCCTGCTGCAGCGGCACCCATTTATCTACTTGCACTGGTGCGCTTTCAAACTGCTAGGTTGGCAGGAGCTGGGGCAGAGCAATGGGAGCTCACTTCATTGCACGGATTTGAACCGCTGATCTTCCGACTGGCAAGCCCAAGAGGCTCAGTGGTTTAGACCACAGCACTCACCCACGGTGAGAATGGGATGTTGGACTAGATGGGCCTTTGGCTTTATTGCAAGTAACTGTCCCTTCAGTACTGTGGTGCTTTATTATTTAGTCTTTCTTTTGCTTTCTAACTTTTTTTATTTTATTTTAAGGAAATCTTGTACTTGATCTGGGGTGGGGGAGACGGGGATCAGAAAAACTTCTATCCAAATCTGATGTAAGTTGGTGGTGGTGGGTCATTGGATATTTATGCTTTGCATGCTTGCTCTACACTTCCTCCTGGGATCCCAATAGCCTAGGAAACACAAACTGAGACTAGTATGCTATGCTTCTCTGCCTTACACAGCACCTTACTTTGCAGAAATTCTCAGATGATGCTCTACACAGTATGGTAGTATACATTATCAGCTGCTAGTGAGAGAAGCTGCGCCACAGATGCCCAAGAAGTACAAATGCATTCATTTCCAAAAACTTCACATTGGGACAATAATTAAAACAGGCAGATTTTTTTTAATTAAAATTGTTGTGTAAACTTTTATAGCACGTGCTGGAAGACTTACCACCTCTGCCCCAGCTCCCTTCTGAGAAGCACAGGAAGATGGGAAGGCCATCACCACATCCCTGCTGCATACCCTTACCTCCACTTTCAAAGTTCCAAACTCAATTCAGCTATGTTTTGCAATGGATTTGTAAGGGTCTGGAGCAAATTCAGTTTTGCCCTTTAAGTGTGGGTAACATGTTGTCCATAAAACGATTAAAAGAATGACAGCTTTTAAAATGAGTCATCATTGAAAAAGAAGCCTCAGAATGCCTGTGGAGGTAGCTGCCTCTGATGAGCGCTGCAGGCACACACTGCTATAAAACTTCCTTCCAATCTTTCCCCACTCTCTTCTTGAGGAAAGTGTGGCTGTGCCTGCTGTTCCAATCTACTCACTGGCCTTGTTAACACCCTTGCTTTTTCTCACTAGAAGCAAGGGCTTCAAGAGCTCTTTAAAAAGAGGGTTAAAAAGAGGTATACCAGCTGCTTGAACCTCTAATGACATGAGCTGTCCTTTGATCAAAAGCTCATCAGCCTGCAGAATTCAATTTATCCCTGACCTAAGAATTTGCCTTATGAGACAAAGCATCCCTCCTAAGACAGCCATTTGGCTTTTGATCTTGCCGGCTCGTTTCTATAATATCAAGGGTGGAGTTCAGGTTTGTGAGTTTCTCCACACCACCATCACAGTCCCAAGTGAATACCTGACTTCAGAAATCCTGGATGTTGAAGCCAGTAAACCACACACAAGTTCAATACCCACATTCATACACTTGTAAGTTCTCCAGGCTCAAGTGTTCATCCCTTCCATGCATGGCAAATAAAAAAGTAACACCGGCCCTAAAGAAATTAATTGACCAGCATGGTCCCCTTTTACAGAGCCATCAGATCTTTCACACTGGCTGTGAATAAGATGTGTGTGTGTGATTAACATCCTCATTTCTTTTTCTTCCTTTCATAAACAAATATGGGTGTGGGAAGGAGATGTGTCTAATATCCTTTCTTATGAATACATTTCCAACCCGCTTCTGCCTCCACCCCCCTCCCAAAAAAAAGGGGGGTGGGAGAGAAGGAAAGTAAAATCATAGTTAAAAATGTGCTCAAACGTATGAGAATACATGAGCCAGAGGTGGGGGGATAGTCGCATGCTGTATGATGCATTATGCTTAAACAAAGTGAAAACAAACACCCCCTCTTCTCTGCAACTGGTTGCGACTCCCCTGCCTATTGTCAGAAAATGACAGAGAGGGGAAAAATGAAGGCAAAATGATTGTGCATTGCATGATGATATCTGTTAAGGTGAGCTGCTTTGGTTCATGCACAGTCTCCTCTGGCTGGCTCATCGCTGGCTGGCCCAATTGTGTGGTTTTGTTCGTCAAGTAGTCCTGCTGGTTTGCTTCAGCCATGCTCCTTCCACAAAACCAGGTGAATACTGTGGTCTGGCATGCTGGTGGCAAAGACCAGGCCCATGTCATTTTGACCATCCAAACCATCCAGCCAATCCATTTCCCCAGCCAGGAAGCTCGAGCCCCTCTTTGACTTTCTGTATTCTGGCAGTGGCCAGCGGCTGATCAGTTTCTCTGTCCTCAAGTCCATTATGTACAGGTAGTGGTTATCAAACAGGAGGGCAAAAATGTCGCCGAAGCCCAGCAAGGACAAGTTCGCAAATTCAGGAGGTTTGATAACCCTGCAAGGGGAGAGAAGAAACAGACCACCACAAATATCAGAAGAAAATGCTGCAAAGAATGGAGAGTTGATCTTTCAAATGATTTTGTTAATGGTGTTGATATGATCTAGATTGCAGTCTGCTGCTCCTTAACCAACCTGGCATCCTGGTGTCTTGCAAGTGACATGTCATGTAAATGCAAGATACTAACGGAATCCCATCTGGAATGGCACCAGTCATTCAAAACCTGACTCTTACAAGTTATCGCTGACATTGTCAGGGTATTCGGCTTAGCTTGCCCACTTTAGACCTCTTGGCCAGACCTCCACAGCACACTCCAGGAACATGACTCAGGAAGCATCAACACTTAAGTTTCCTCTATTAAGAAAAGTGTTTACTGGGTTAATTCCACATGAGTTGGAAATAGTGGCTCATACCTCACAATGCACCTGGCTGAATGTGGTAACCTTCTTATCAATGTCACTGGGCAGATTTGGCAAGCAATTTTGTGTACACAGTAAAAGGGTTCACTTTACAGTATAAAGTGTGGGTCGTGATAGGAGATTGCAGGAATTGTTGAACGCCATGTGTTGAACTATGGATTTGTGTGAAGAGTTTTTGGGAAAAAATCATCTGAAAAGGAGAACTGCCAGACTACGAAACTCGGAGAACTCAGTCAGTTGCAGGATTCTGAGCAACTAGAGTTAGAACTTGCTAATGGACTTTGTTTCAGCAAGGACTTTGAAGTACAGAACCCTCTCTGGGACCAGAGAGAAAGAAGCTTTTCTATATATAGTGTGTGTAAATGGAGTGTGTGTTTTGCATGTGCCAACTAGAACTCTGCTAAAAACAACTGTTTCATGTTGGTGTGTTTAACTGCTTTACTGAAGCTTCTGTGGCACATACACAGAGAACAAGAATATACATACATATTCGTGTATATATATGTGTGTGTGAGAGAGAGAGAAAGAGAGAGAGCGAGAGAGAAGAAAAAGAGGAGGAGGAGGAGGAGAAATACAGATCCCAACAACCTCTGCATATGTTGGCCTCAAATCCAGACTGTTTACCTGTGGATATCGTAGCTGGCGAAGTCCCACTGATACAACCCGATAGCTGAACTGCAGACAATGTATTTGCCATCGAAATGAAGCCGAGGCTGGAGGGAGATGCTGCGGTCTTCTGAGACGGTAAGGGTTTTTAAGCACTTGCAGTTGATCTCTCTCCCAATGGGCCAGATCTGTAACAATACAATCAACCAATGATTGTGGCAACAGGGAAGGATAAAGGGGGTACACTTTGCTAACTTGGTGAAGTCTCCCTTGCAGGCCTTCAAGCCAAGAACTCCCTCCCAGAACCCTGACTCTCTCTTGAAGGAAAGCTCTCCCACTTCAACATCTGCAAAGCCTCATGGGTGCAGCTCTTTTTAACCCGCAGTTGTTATGGGAAAAGTTTGTGTAACTGCCTTTCAGCCTTGCAATTCAGCCCTTTCCTCCCCCTGTCTAGTTTATAAATTTCTTAGGGCAGAGACCTGTACTTTTATTTTTTGCTTATGTTACACTGCAAAGTACCATGCACACTAATGATGATGATAAAACTGGACTGTATCCCATGCTGGTTCTACCCAGAATAGGCCCATTGAAAAGAATGGGTGTGATTATTTTAGATCCATTAATTTCAACAGGTCTACTGTTAGAATAACTTAGTTTGAGATAACCCATTATTACTATTGGGCTATATGCAACAACATTCTACTTGGAGTAGACCCACTGAAATTAATGTACCCATGTTAGTCATGCTAAGTAGGTGCTTTTACCTTATGCTGGCCTATGGGTGCAATAAATATTCTTTACCTTCTTCTGCTACAGAAGGGAAGCTTCGTCCTCTAAAACCTGCCTCTTGACATGCTTATGAAAAAGCCTTCTAACTATCAAGCAGCTGGCAGACAATGGGCAGAATAATTCACCCCTTAGGATCCATTAGGGCAAAGGAACACAGAGCATGTGCTTTGCAAGCAGAAGTTCTCATGTTCAATCCTCTGGCATCTCTAGGTAGGGCTAGTAATGTCCCCTATCTGAAACCCTGGAGAACTGCTGCTGCCAGTCAGTGTGGACAATACTGATAGCCAGCTGAATACTGAAGCCAGCCAACGAATACTGATAGCCAGCCAATACTGAAGGCACCTTTCTAGTCAGATTCAGATTTGTACAGATCTAGTCTAATCCAGCAAAGGCTTGTGACTTTCCAGAATTTATTTACACCTGCAATTCCCCCTGATTTCTGGAGCTCCATGAAGCTGAGACCATACATACCTTGATTTCGTATTTGTCTGCGCTTAACAAGATGTAATCCCCAGGGCTGTGCATGAGAGATTTGACTTTGCACTTCTGCAAGACCACCTGCAGTAGGAACAAAGTGTGTCTAAGGCTTGAGGCAAAATGTCAGACAGGTCACTAAAAAAAGCACTGCAGTGTTTGTTCAGGCACATTTATGTCCCGGGAGGTAAAAATCTTAACTCACAATAAGAAATGCCAGATGCTGCTCTATTATGTCCGAGAAAGAGAAGCCACAATGGAGGCTGTGCACTGTCTCCAACTAACCCACTGTGCAGCTGGATTTTGTTGTTCTTACTTCAGTACAGTACGTTCAGTACGTTCTGTACAGAAAGATTTTGTTCTTACTTCAGAATGATCTCTGTTGTTACACATTCTTACACAAAATGATTTCTGCTGTATTGAAACCCACTTTTTCCCATTAAGCTTATGGTACAACCACCTGGGTCTCATGCCCTGCTTTAAGGCTGCGTAACTGAAACAACCTGCTTCAATGTTAACCCCTGTTTCCATCTCCTCCTTTTTCCTCGTTTCCCTATGTTGAATTTTTGTAAGCTTCTTAAGAGCAGGGATTGATCTTCTTGTGCTCTATAAAGCATCATGTGCACTAATGGTATTACAAAAAGAAAAAAATATAGAATGCTGCACGCACATCATGGTTTCCTCCACATGTTGGGAACCAGCAACTGTAGCTCTGAGTACTTCCTTTGCATGCAGAATGTCCCAAGTTCAATCCCTGCCATCTCCAGGTAGGCCTGGGAGAGACGCAAGGTCTGAAACCCTGGTGAGCCACTGCCTGTCAGTGTAGGCAAGGTAGATGGACCTAGTGGTCTGACTCAGCGAAAAGCGATTGCCTATATTCCTGCATGTGGTAACCTTGTCCTCTAGCACCAGATATGCAAAGCTGGCAAATAACCTTTGGCCTCAAATGGTTTGTAGTTAAATTTTAGCCACTGTGGTGTAGCAGTTAGAGCACTGGACCTGGGAAACTAGAATTCGAATCCCCACTCAGCCACAAAATGACCTTGGGCCAATTGCTGCCTTACAACCTAACCTACCTACCTACCTCACAGGGTTGTTATGAGGCTAAAATTGGACAAAAGGAGAGAACCACGTATGCCACCTTGAGCGTTTTGAGGAAAGGTGGGATATAAATGCAACTATTAATAAATGACACCCAGTGCAAACTTTAAACAGGAAGGGAGCTAACCCAGCCTACCTTTGTGACCCATTCCGTGTGCCCTGTTAGTGTATTGAGACACACTCCCGTTGATAAGGCCCAGACCTTCACAGTGAAATCCGCTGAGCCACTGACCAGGATGTCGAGCTCGTCATTGTAATCAACACTGAAAACTACAAAAGCCAAAAAAGAAAAGGGAACTTTAAAAGAGATTGGCCATGCTGATCTCTATACCAAGTCAGATCAAAGTAATCATGCAGTTATTTTGGGGTGTGTGTGTGTGTGCAATTGTGAGTCACACTGCAGTTATACTAATTTGGCTTCCTTGAAATTTAGAGTTTTCCCTTCCATGTAATAGACGTGTAGAATTTACAAGTTTGGAAGGATAGCCCGGTAAACATACTTAGGTAATGCCTACCCAATGATTAGAGCTAGAGAACTGCAGCCAGGGGAGGGGGTTCCCTTGCCTAGAAAGCTGTCTTATTCTGGGCCAGGCTATTGGTTCATGTAGCTCAGGGACTATCTGCATGAGTTGGCAGCGGCTCTCGAGGGTTTCAAACAGGGAGTTTCTCCCAGCCATATCTGGCATGTGTGACAGAGACTTGGTTAGATGAGGCAGATGGGCCTGTTCTTGTCGCTGCTTGTCCACCAGGTTTCTCTTATACACAGCAACCCATGTCATATGGGTGGGGTGGGGTTGCAGTGATTTTTAGGAAGTCATTAGCTTACATCAGGCGTCCTGTTGGGAAAACCCAGTTTTCTGAGTGCATGTTCTGGAAGTTGGGCAATAGGGGCAGTACAGGATTCCTTTTGGAGTACCAACCTCTCCACTGCACCAAGATTCCCTGCCTGAGCTGCTTCAGGTCGTGGTGGATGTTCTCCTGGAGTCTACCTCTTTCCAAATCTGAGTGACTTTATCTGCAAAAAAAGCTTTGCAAACTCATTGCAGGAGACCTTTTTGCAGATAAAGTCACTCAGATTTGGAAAGAGGTAGAGTCCACCATGGGAGCAGGGCCGGGAGAGTGCTAGAGTCCCTTCTGGTCAAGTTGCATGGGATCAATTCCAATCTGTTACCTCCAAGGATGTGGATAGGCTGCTTGGACAAGTGAAACCAACCACCTGTCCCCTTGCCGATCCTGGCTAATAACAGTGAGCTGGGAAGGGCTGGCTGATGGGCTCTGGGGGCTGGTGAGTGCTTCCCTCTGTGAGGGAGCCTTCCCAGATCCGCTGAAAGAGTGGCCGCTGAGACCATATAACACCGGTCCTGAAAGACCTACTTTGGCTCCCAGTATGTATCCAAGCACAATTCAAAGTGTTGGTGCTGACCTTTAAAGCCCTAAACGGCCTAGGCCCAGTATCCCTGAAGAAGCATCTCCACTCCCATCGTTCAGCCCGGACACTGATGTCCAACTCCTTGGTGGTTCCCTCCCTGCAAGAAGTGAGATTACAGGGAACCAGGCAGTAGTGGCGCCCTCCCTGTGGAACGCTCTCCCAGCAGATGTCAAGGAAATAAACAACTATCTGACTTCTGGAAGACATCTGAAGGTAGCCCTGTTTAGGGAAGTTTTAAATGTTTTATATTTGGTCGAGTTTTTAATGTTCTGTGGGAGCCGCCTAGAGTGTCTGGGGAAACCCAGCCAGATGGGTGGGGTGTAAATAATTAATTATTATTATTATTACTATCTAGCAATGCCAGGAACTGAACCAGAGACCTTCTACATGTAAAGCCCACGCTAGAGTCAGTCCCAAGCAACATGGAACTGTGTAGAGTTCTGGTTGCTTCATCTCAGAAAGGATTATATACAGTTGGAAAAGTTTCAGAAAAGGACAACTAAAATGATCAAGGGGATGGAGCAACTCCCATGAGGAAAGGCTGCAACATTTGGAACATTTTAGTTTAGAGAAAAGGCAGGTAAGACCTTATAGAAGTTTACGAAACTATGCATGGGGTGGACAAAGTAGATAGAGAAGTTTTTCTCCCTCTCTCATATCAGGAAGTTGCACCTGCTGTGGACAGTGATGGCCACCAATTTAGATGGCTTTGGAAGAGGATTAGACAAATTCATGGAGGAAAATGCTATCGATGGTCAGTAGCCACAACGGCTACTCTCTGCCTCAACAGTCAGGGGCAAAAATGCTTCTGAATACCAGTAGCAGGAAACCATAGGAGGGGAGAGGGCTGCTCTTGTGCTCAGGTCCTGCTTGCAGGTTTCCCACAGGCATCTGTTTGGCCACTGTGAGAACAATATGCTGGACTAGATGGGCAACTAGCCTGATCCAACATGGAGAGTGAGTAGGGTAGCTGCTAAACTAGGGGAGATGTCTAGCAAGGCTAGATTGCAGACAGATGTTGCTTGAAATGGCCTAAAGGGCTTCAGGTATTCCTGAGGACACCAACACACCTGCCCCCGTGTGGCCTCTGAAGTGCTGGGTCTTAGTTCCTGAGCTCCACTCCCAGCAGGCTACCGTGTTGTCAAAGGAGCCTGTGACCAGCTTTTGTTCATCAAACTTCACTGCTGCACAGGTGTGGGTCTGGATCCCATAGATGCATTGCCCTGTGCTCACATCCCATAGCTTTGCAGACAAGTCATCTGAACCTGCGGCCGCAAAGGAAGAAATGAAGTGTGGTTTAGTGGCTGAGAAGTCAGAAGGTTCAGAAGGTATCCAACATGATCCACAAAACAATGGCATCCAACCAGGACCTGGGAGAATTGAGTTCAGATCAGCCATAGTTTCACTACTTGGCCAGCCACTACTTAAGCTTCTCAGTGACCCATCTAGAAAGAGCCACTGGTTAGAGTCTGTCTCATTGTTTCCCAAACATCTGATCAAAATTTGGAGGCCTATTTTTTTAACACCTGAAACTGTTTTACTTTCATAACAAATGAAAAGAAAAATAACCCATTCAAAGAGGAGTGTGTCCTCAGTGTTTCTGTATTAGTACTCGTTCCACTCTGATCCCAAGGCATGCCTAGACCAATGGCTCATACATAAATGCAACAGGGCAAATTGGGTGGAGAGGGCAAGTCTGCCACAAAAGAGTGCCTTGAATAATCTGATCATCCCTAAAACCACAGTGCATAATTACCTACCCAGGGGCTGAATGGAAGGAGGGAAAGTTGAGCACTCAATCACACACAGAGACACAAAGGGCAGTATTCTATTCAGGCAAGTTATTGGGCACATGGGAATTGGCACTTTAGCTGTTCTTCTATACCATTTAATTTGGAAATTATTGGCACAAGAAAGCTTTAAAGTTGTGATGTCAAACTTTCTTAAAAAGGTATCTGAGATCCCCCCCCACCCCAATTTTACAATGAAAAAGTAAACCCTGCTGACAGCTCTCTGCTCCCAAAAGTACCCCACCATGATATTATTCTGCTGAAAATTTTCTGTGATCTCCCAAGTTCCCTCAGAATTGATCTATTATTTCTGTGCTATGCTCACTTTGGTAAGTGGCCCCTGGAGGATTGCACATAGGTCAATGCAGCCCTCAGCCCCAAAAAGGAAAGACATTCCTGCTTTAAAACTATTTTGAATATCTTGGGGGGGGGGGATATCTGCTTGGCATTTAAAAATAAAACAAGCTTCTAGTTCTCATGCATGCAGGAGAAAACTCAGAAATATATCCATGCCCTTCCTGTCATTGACAAGGATTTCCAAGCCTGAGTTTATGATGCAGAACAAGTGAGCGCAATTAAGCAAACAAGAATGCAGATACACTTGTGGCACATAATTGATTCCAACTCAATAATTTTGATTTGGGAAGAGAAGTGATTGGTGCAGAACAGAAAGTCCTAGTCATGCAAAATCATTAGCCTCCAATAGTGGAAGATGAAGCTTTTGGTCACACATGATAGAATCTGTGACAATTAACTCTCTCGCTAGTAGGAAGTCTCAAAGGATTAAAAACTTTGGCTTGCAAATAAATCCTTCACTTTTCCAGACAGAAATGATTGTTTATATTAGGTCAGCTGCTTTTTGTATAAACAAATCAATGCTGCCTGTCCCCTTGCTGCCCTTTCATTAATGGATAATTTGAGCATTTGGTTTTAAGCCCCACCCCACCACCAAAAAGCCACCCTCACAGGGAGATCCACACTCCACAGCAGATCCATGGTAGGGGAATTTGTAGGGAAGACTGGTGTGAAGCCAAAGGAGCAGCCTCCTCCTCCTCAGAATGTATTGTAGGTTTTAGAATGCTGAAGAGGCCTTTCTTTAATATTAGCACACATTGGCTGTGTTCAAACATCACAATAAACTATGGTTAACACAATAGCAACAAGATTAGCCTACTCCTAGGCTCATATGCTCTGTACTCTGGTGCAAGGAAACTGGAAATTTTTGCTTCTTATTAGCCAGAGTTTAGCATGACACATGAACTCTAAAGTGCGGCTACACATAATTTCTGTGGAAACATGCCAACTTTATAAACAGTGGTCTGATGCTGGTTTGTTGCAACATAGTAAAAATGAATCACAGTGTATTGGGTTTCTGCAAGATGGCAAGCTGCAGTTAAATAGAGGCAAAAGCTTCGAAGCTTGTCCTTGAATCTGTCAGGGGAGACCAGGCAAGCCTGGGGAGGGACACCAGGCTTGTTCCTATCACAACAAACCATAGCTTATTGTAGTGTAGCATACAGACACTGCATGCTTTTATGAAATACATTTCTACAATGTTAGTGAAAGCTTGTGGCTAGAACAAGGTCTGGGATCCGTGGGGCCTGATCATGGCCTATGGTGAGCTGTGAATGATCAAATCTCCTATTCAGATCTTGGTCTTGCTATAACATCACTAAGCAGCTTTAGACAAGCCTTCCAGCCTCAGCCCACTCAATGAAGCTGAATATTGGAAGATCCAGGACAGATAAGAAAAGTACTATTTCATGTGGTGAATAGCTGAACTATGGCACTTGCTCCCACAGGAGGCAGTGGTGGTCACCAACTTGGGATGCTTTCAAAAGAGTAGACAAATTCATGGACGAAAAGGTTCACAATAGCTATGTTCTGCCTCCACAGTTGAAAGCAATAAAGCATCAGAATACCAGCTGCTGGAAACCTCAAGAGAGGAGAGTGCTCTTGTGCTTGAATCCTGTTCATGTGTATCCTGCAAGCATCTGGTTGGCCACTGTGAGAAGATGGACTGGATGGGCCATAGGCCTGTTCCAGCAAGGCTCTTCTTATATATGCCACCTCCCAGTAGTATTACTTACTCTGGCAATTTATATACAGGCAACTTCCCAAGTGGGGGGGTCATCATGTGTGTCGGCAGGGCACGCATAAGCCCTCCCTCCCACTTCTGGGGCTGAAAACTGTGCATGCACCAGCGGTCATGTGTTCCTTGAACGCGCACAAAATGGGAGTTGCTTGTACCAATTAATCATGAGAGTCCCTGAGTGGTGTGCAAACAACTCCACAATAAAGATAAAAATCAGTTAAAACTATAAAATCAGAATTCAGTTAAAACACCTGCTGAAATATTTAAAATGTCTTCTGTAGGTGCTGGAATTTCAATATGTAGGGTGCCCTGACCTCCAATGAAAGGGAGTTCCACAGTATTTGGCCTACAATGACAAAACATTTCTAAGGACACCTTAAATGTCTGATGAACAATACAATCTACCAAGTAGTAGGAACCCAATGATAACATTCTGTAAGAATAAAAACAGTAGATAAAATCAACATGTAAAACAGTCTAATGTGGATTTAAAGGCCTGAGGAAATGTAGGAAGACTTCTCCTGGTACCCGAGATAGTAAATATATGCCTTCTTCAGGAATGAGATCTAAAGGCAGGTGCCACCATTAAGAAGACTCTCTCCTCAGTTGGAAACCACCTCACCCAGAAGGTAGGGTCTTTGAAGATTATCTCAGCACATATGCCATCTCGGGTTGAGTTCCTGAAGGATCACCTCCTCCAGGTCCAAGACATGTACAGCTTTGAAGGGAAAGCAGTGCACAACCTGGTGATTACAGAATAAATGATGCAAGGAGGGAGTTGCAGCCCAAGATAGGGAAAGAGATAGTAAGGGAACATCTAGCTACTTTAAATGAATTCAAATCTCCAGGGCCTGTTGAGCTGCACCCAAGGGTACTAAAGGATCTTGTGGATGTAATCTCAGAACCTCTGTCTATAATCTTTGAGAATTCTTGGTGAATATGGGAAGTCCCTGTGGACTGGAGATGGGCAAATGTTCTCCCCATCTTCAAAAGGTGTGGGGGGAGGGGAAGCCCAGGTAACTACCTACCGGTGAACTTGACATCAGTAGCAGGAATGGTCCCAGATAACTAAACAGTTGGTAAGCAATTAGAAAAAGATGCTGTGATTACTACAACCCAGCATGGGTTTCTCAAAAACAAGTCATGCCAGATGAATCTCATGTTTTTGATGAAGTTCCCAACAGCCAGAAAGCTGTTAAAATGTCAAAAAACGAAAAAGCCACACAAACAAAAACGCCATTTTTTTTTAGCAAAAACAAAAGCTCCAAATATCATCTCTGTGTTGCATGGGTGCTTGGGACTCAGCAGGAAGCCTCTGATTAGCAGTGGGGGACTCAATTTACAAATGGAACACACTCAACAGGAAGCAGAACATGTTCCGCTTCCAAGGCAAAATTCACAAACCAGAACACCTACTTCCGAGTTTGCAGCATTCTATTTCCAAGTTGTTCATAAACTAAGCTGTTCTAAAACCAAGGTACCACTGTATATGAAACTGCTGGGGATGGTTATTGGGAATTACGGGTTGAGGTGCAGGCCTCGGCGATGTATTTACCTCGCCCGGTCCCGTGTGAGAGACAGACCACAACAGCAACTTCACCCAGAGGTATGTCAAACATCTCCTTCTGATACCTCTTGAGTAACACGTTGCCTGGGAAAAACAGATCTTGCTTCCTCCCAAACAACTGATGTACATTCCTTCCTAATATGGCCTTGAACATTGTTGTCTGACATCTGGCCCCAGTAATCAACAACTCAGCCTCACTGGTGTGAAGTGCAGAGGGTAAATATGAAGCCCCTGGATTTTTTTTTTTTTTTTGGTATAAATATATAATATACATTCCCCACCTCTAAGACTGCCAATCTTCCAGTGTCACCCACCCTTCACATTTCATATTTGATCCCCAATTTTACATACAACCACATCATAAATAAATAAACACAACCCATCTCTCTTCTTTTCTGTCTGAAAGTTTCAGAAGCCATCAAGATGGTACATACTATGGTCCATCCTGTCCCTTTCACTGTTCTTATTTCCAACTTTAACCTTCAAGGGGGTGGGCCAATGTAATCTCAACAAAATCTGTATCTCCTCTCCATCCTCCCCACTAAACAAATAAATCTTCCTGGAGTCCATCTTGCCAGTCCTCTGTTCCATTACCTCCAACTCCAGTCAGTTTTTTCTCTCTTCCGAGTGCTTAACAGACAGTCAATCCAGTTGTTACCAATCTTTTCTTCTTTACTATTTTTATTTCATAATACAAAGTTCCAAGGGGTGGTCAAAATCCCTCAAAAGTCTTGAGGGTAGTGATTTTAAGTTTAGTCTGCCATGCACAAAGAAGGGTTAGGATTTGTGGACTAAAATAGAATGTAATTTATATCCTATCAAATTAATTTTGTAAAAAGTCCACGTTTCTTATAGTAAAATAACATCAAAAGATTTAATAAAACTAATAAATTCAGGGTCATTGGCCTTTTTCCTCAAGCCCACAATGTTCCAGGAAAGGATCTGAAACCTAGGGTCACTTGGCAGTCATTTGATTTCAATTAAGTGATCCCATCAGTTACCATTCCCCCTGCCCTTTTAACTATTCCAAGGAATCAACACCCTAACATCTTCACTACAGCAAATGGTTAATTGCCTGTCCTTGCTGGGCTTGCACTCCCCCTTACGGAGCAGGTTCACTGTTTGGGAGTGCTTCTGGATCCAGCTCTGTCACTGGAGGCTCATGTATATACAGTGGTTGGAAGTGCCTTTTACCAACTGTGACTGGTTTAACAGTTATAGACATTCCTGAACTGGGAAAGTCTGGCCACAGTAGATCATGAATTGGTTACTTCAAGATTGCAATATGCTCTATGGGGGGCTTCCCTTGCACTTGATCCAGAAGCTGCAATTAATGCAGAATGCTGCAGCACAATTGCTGACAGGAGTGAGGCCTTGTCAGCATATAGTGCCTGTTCAGTGATCTGCACTGGTTACCAATTTGTTACCAGGCCAAGTTCAAGGTGTTACTATCAGTATATAATGGCCATAATAACTTGGGGCCAGTTTACCTAAGAGATCAGCTTACCCAACGTGTGCCCACTTGACCGCTTCAATCAGCGGAAGTGGTACTACCACAAGTGCCATATAATACCCATTCTGCATTTGTAAGAACTCAATCATTTATTGTAGCAGCACTTACACTTTGGAACTCCCTGCCTATTAATAGCAAGCAGCTGCCTTCACTGTATTCTTTTAGGTGCCTGCTAAATATATTCTTGTTTAGACAAGCCTACCCAGATGCTTAGAAAGTTGATGTGAGTTTTAACTTGTTTTAGCATTTCAAAGTTTTGTGTGTTTTAAAATACAGGCACCACCCCTTACGCATATTCGACTCATGTGCAACCGCATACACGCACCGGGAAATTAAAAATAATTCTATTCAAACCTGGAAATGGCAGGAGAGCAGCAGAGTCCCCGTGGCTTGCAAGGAGACCCTCCCTGGAAAATGATTTTTTCTATAGATTATGAAGGCCTGAAAAAGGCGCACGGGGGCCCTGCTGCTGCTGCATCATCATGCTCACCAGCTCAGAACTGTGAAAGCCACTTCGCAAGTCCTGTCTGTGCGGCTTTCCCAGCCTCTCTGGTGAGGAGTGGGGGCTCCCCTGGAAATAATGCCTTCTATATCCACCTAATGAAGAACAAAAGCTTTAAAATGTGTCAACAGGGCTGCAGGTTCCAAATTCATGTGTGGGAAGCTGAAAGGCAGGAAGCTGCTCCTTGCAGCGGGCTCAGCTGCGCGGCTTCCCTATCCTTCCTGCCAAGATTGAAGGTGAAGAGGGGAGGAAGGGAGTCTTCATTGCCCTTTAGATTAGAAGGGAAGGAGCAGAACAAGGGCAAACAAAAGTGGATGGGGGGGGGAGAACAAAAAACAAAGCCACTCAAGCTCCCCACTTACGCACATTTCATTTATGTTTTTTTTGGGGGGGGGGGTTACGTAACCCCCACGTAAGTGGAAAGTTGCCTGTATTATTGTACGTGTTCCTAGGTATAATTTTATTGTTTTATCTTTTGATGTATTTTGAAAAACCAAGTGTATACATTTTGTGAAATAAATAAATTGGTGACTTCCTGGCTCACAGCCCTCTCACACACATACACAACACTAATTCTCATTGCACCACTACACCCAAGCCATTTGGGCCATCCTACCTGTACAAAGAAGTCCATCTTTATAGTAAAGTGCGTACACTCTGGCACTGTGTCCAATCAGTGAGGAGGTCTCAAAGGCTTTGTGGTCCTCTAGTTGCTTCATCCTTAAGATGGCCTTCAAGTACACCTTCTTCCAGTGCAAAGCATCTTGGACAGAGTCATCAATCTGCCAGCCCAGTTTTCTACAGGCAGTCTGCCACACCTCCATACAGGCACTTATGACCTTGTTCCATTGCTTAGAGACGAGGCAGCACGTGAGTAAGGTCTGAGGGTCAAGCCATTTTAACAAATAAAAACTGAGTTCCAACGGGAGGAGTTTGAGGAAGTCCCGTTTGAGGAGGGTCTCTAGGTTATTGGAGAGGTGCCTGAGCTGGATAGCCCCACTCAAGCTAATCAGGTGATCCAACGACTCATTTTTCTGCAAGTCCGTCAGAGAGAGAAACGTAACAGAAATATTATCAAGCCATGCTTCAAAGTCCTTTCTCTCCATAAGGTTATGGAAACATTTACCTGTGGGACATCAAAATACAGTATTAGTTCTGCTCAAAAACCAAATACGAACATCTTAAATAAAAAAATAAAAAATGACACACTCTGCCTCAGATGCACTTTAAACAACAACATGGCACAGGGCGGTTAATATAGAAAAACCAGCAATGTACAATGTGAAGGAGAACTCCCTTTTAAACCGAATGTGCAGATCACAACATGCAAAAACTGTGGGATTTTTGTCTGTCCAGTGCAAAATATAGTAGTGCCTTTGAAAGCCTATGATTTTCAGCTGCCAGTCCTTATGTTTGGTTTCACATGGCATGATCAAAGGAAAACAAGGGACCCAACATCAATGTGACATCAGGTGCCTGACAGGTAGGTGTCTCAGCTCTCCTCTCAGACTTGGTCCAAAAGGTTTGGGGGAAGGGAAGTCTCTGGACTGCTAGCCCCATCCAGGTCCCAACCCCTGGTTTAGATTTATCAGAGGACCTTTCCACAGACAATTGCTGAATGGATAGCCGAGCAGCAAGGAGTTGGACCACAATGCATATTGGTTCCACCTAACTTTCTTCCCTACCTAGCATTTCAATGGGAAAGAGGGCATATTTACCTTAAGTAGTTGTCTGTATTATCAGATAGTTGCTTAGCAGGTAGCTGCCAATTGTCTTCTTGCTCCTCAGAACCCGACAGGGATTGGGATTCCTCTGGGGCCATTTCTTCTGTAGGTGTAACAAGAACCATATAAGTCACTGAGGCCAGATTTTCTCCTCTTCTCCAATCACTGCATAGTGCTCTAATGATTCCCAAACCCACTACTGTTACCACTCACTTTTGACCACACCTTAACTTTCCAACCTAATTCATCTGATCAAGGGATATTTCTTTATAATGACTAGGATTCTACGTTTGCTGTCTTGGGAGTAAATCCCATTGAAGCCAACTGGACTTGCTCCAAAGAATGTGTTAAGGAGTTCTGTAGTTCAATAAAGGTTCTTGCAAAGTATGTGTTAAGATCCAGGTGTTAATACTTGTTTTGCGAAAGACTAGGTAAAATTTTGTCAAACTGGGATAAGACAATAATCCAAAGTAGTAGAGGGGAGAAAGGAGAAGTTTATAAAAACTTAAAAGATATTAATGATTATTTTTTAAAATGTTATTTGGAATTAGATAATAAACTAAAGATCATAGCTTATGAGGGTGTAGAAGCTTTAAAAAATAAAATAAAATTATCTTATTTAGATTATTGACAAATGCAAATGTTATTTTTCACCAATATCAGAAGCAGAAATCAAGCAAACTATTCTTAAAATGACAACTGGTAAAACACCACGATTTCCTATTGAATAATATAAGACATACATTGATCTACTAGTACCAAAACCTCATCAACTGTATGAAGAGATGTGTGACAAAGGTATTTTATCAATGGCATTTAATCAAGCTTATATTACAGCTATACCAAATCAGACAAGCTGAGTAAAGTTGATACAAAGATTTTAACAACGACCCAAGCAAATAGAATTCAGCAAGTAATAGTGGTGGTTACGGAGAATGACCAGACTGGCTTTATAAAAATGAGGCAGCAAATAATATTAGATTAGTGGTGGATTTGTAAGATTTAAATAAAAATAAAGACAATTTTTAATTATATCATTAGGCATGAAATGGTTTTCAACAATATTTATGTATATAAAGGTAAAGGTAAAGGGACCCCTGACCATTACGTCCAGTTGTGGACGACTCTGGGGTTGCGGCGCTCATCTTGCTTTAGTGGCCGAGGGAGTCGGCGTACAGCTTCTGGGTCATGTGACCAGCATGACTAAGCCACTTCTGGCAAATCAGAGCAGCACACGGAAACGCCATTTACCTTCCCGCTTCCTACTTGCACTTTGATGTGCTTTTGAACTGCTAGGTTGGCAGGAGCAGGGACCAAGCAATGGGAGCTCACCCCGTCGTGGGGATTTGAACCGCCAACCTTCTGATCGGCAAGTCCTAAGCTCTGTGGTTTAACCCACAGCGCCACCCGCGCCCCTGTATATAGGGGTAGCTTTAACTAAATTGGTTTTCCCTTTAGTTTTTATAAAATGGATAAAAGTAGTGTATGATTCAACTAAATCTAGAGTTAAAGTGAATGGTATCCTGTCCACCACCTTTTCACTGCCTTGAGGAACTAGACAAGGATGTTCACTTTCACGTTTGCTTTTTAAATAATTGTTTAGAACCCCCTAGCTTGCGCTATTAGACAACATTGTGAGATTCACACCACAGCGGTTCATAATTCAGTTGAATATAAATTGATTTTATTTTCAGGTGGTACCAAACTAGTATTCCTATATTGATGCAAACAATAGATGCTTTTGGTAAAATATCAGGATACTTTATTAACTGGTCCAAAAGGAATTGATGCCATTACGTGAAAAATTGATTACTCTTTCAGGTAAGGAATTATCAATTCCGGATTTGCTCCAAATCTATTATATAACTAGGTTTAATGCCAAGAGACATAACTCGATTAGTTACAATTCATATAAACAAAATAATAAAAGAGGCTTCTTTAGTTACTGATAGATGGGAGTCATTAAACCTTAACCTTAGGGGAAGGTTGAATCCTTTCAAAATATACATTATTCCCAGATTTATCTATATACTACTTGCTTGTAAAAAAGCCAAACCCTTCAAAAAACCCTTTCCCTTATGTCACTATTTAGATTGCAAGCCTAAAGACAGAGTTGTGTTACTTTTGCTGAAGCTTTAAATTGCAAAGTGCCTTTTGGTGAGTATCTTTTAAACACTTAAGAATTATTATTATTCTAAATATAGGGTGGGGGGAAGGGCAGCATTTAACAAATAAATGGGAGAGATGACGTTAATGGGGGGTGAGGTATAAAGTAGATAGCATGCCTCATGCATATTTTTTTCTTTCAAGTTGGGTCTTGACGTGGAATCAGAAAAGTGGATTGCTTTTATAATCTTTGGCCACAATACAACAAAGAGTTGAGCACACCTAAATTTGCACTGAACTATTGCCATTTATTTCAAAGGACTGGGTCTGTACAATTGTGCATTAGTGCATAAAGGTCAAAATGTAATAATAATAATAATACGTCTCCCATAAAAGAGCACACACAAAAGTGGCATGGAAAACACTCTTTATCAGCCTATGCTCTTAGGTTTCTGGATCTGATTCCGGAGACGATGGATGGGGGAAGGGTCATAGCTCAGTAGTAGAGCATCTACTTTGCATGCAGATGATCCCAGGGGACCTGCCCATCTTGAGTTAGGGCTGGGAGTGTCTCATGCCTGAAACCCTGGATAAGTGTAGTTGGTGTGGCAATACTGAGCTGGGTGGACTAATGGTTTGGGTATAAAACAGCATCTTATATTCCTACTGTTGTCTGGGAAGCAATCCATGCATTTGATGTTTTTATAGAGGGCTAGATTTTAACAAGTTCCTGGCGTGCTCTCGTCCATGGGGTCACGAAGAGTCGGACACAACTAAATGACTGAACAACAACAACAGATTTTAACAGGTCAGACTATTTCTCTAGCCCAGTCTATGCTGACTGGTGGTAGCTCCCTAGAAAGGAAGACCCCTTCCACCACCTGATACATGATTTGTTTTTCTTTTAAGGTAATTATGACAGCATTCAACCTGTCTAGAACATTCTACATCCAAAGCATATAGTCCAACTACATTTGATGCTGGCCAAAGGATCCCGCTTCAGGAAACACCTGTGACCGGATAGTGTTCACAAGTGAAAATTGCCTCTGAAAAGCCTGGGGTGGGGAAAACCCCCATGCTAACTAGTTCAATATCGGAGAACAAGAACAGCCATATGCGACATGCAGAGTCTTGTGGCATCTGCTGGGCGGTCTCCAGGTGTTACTAGACTACAATTCCCCTCATCCCTAGCTAGCAGGACCATCCAGCGACACCTGGGGAGGGACCTGAGGTTGGGAAAGGCTGAGCTAGAGTGTCGCACCCGTGCCCGCGAGACCAGGATTCAAACAACCATTTGCTCATGAAGCCAGCTGCCCAGTGGGGATAAAACGGGGAAGGGGAGAATACGCTGATCTCCCGGGAATAAAGGAAGGGTGTAAATAGGATAATACATAATAGCTAAGAATCAAAACACGACGCCGATCCCATCATTCTGCACCCCCCTTACCCCCTTCTCAATCCCGGGCCCTCCCGCAACCTCTTTTGCACCTACCTCAACGGAGACCTCTCCTCAACTTCACCCCAAAGGGCGCAAGTCTCCCCTTCCACCCGCCCCGCCCCCTCAGCCCCCCTCCCCACTGCAGGCGGTCTCTATGACAACCCACCTGAGCCCCGCCCCCTTCCGCCGCTCTCCTCAGCCGCGCTCCCTCCTCCCACCGCACTGCCCCTCTTCTCTTCCCGCCCCCTCCCGCCCACTTTATTTTTCGGGGGCGGGGGGTCCAACCTTTCGCCGCCGGGTCCCAGCAAACACTCTACCACAGGCACTTCCGGCGTGAGCACCTGACGTCATCTTCCTCGCGCCTCTTTCCCGCCCCGGATTTTAGAGTCACTTCCGTCCGGAAACGGAAACTTTTTTTAAAAAGTCTAACTTAAGGTACCCATAGAGATAGAAATGTAGAGCATTTTCTGAACCACCGATATAAAATGTGAACGGTGACACCATTGGACATGATTCTCTTGCACTGCTACAAAGTCTCTCGAAATTCTCTCTAGAGACCGACGGCCCTCCAATGCTCTTTACAGCATTGGAAAACCAGTTGAAATTGAGAACGGGAGTTGCCATTGTGTATTGTTGACGATGTGTGGCTCTTCATTTTTCTATATCTTTGGTTTTTTCCTTTCTCCTTCCAGGGCACAAGAGAGGCCGAGCCGGAAGTACAATCACATGGGGGAAAGGATTTAATCGACTGAGTTTCTGGTCCGTTGTTATTTTCCTCTCTACCCTGAAAACGTGGTCCCAACTGTTTAGTTCCGCTTTGCAGTAGATTCTCAAGATTGTAGTTGCCGGCTTTAATTTGGAGGTGAAGAGGGATGCTTTAGTCCTTGGACGGGAAGGGAAGGTGAGTTTGTGCCGCCCAAAGCCTCCCCCAATATTTTTTCCTTACATTATCCCGCTTCCACCCTTCTTCAACTAGATTTTAATTCATTCTCTCTCCTAAGTTCCCTAATTTTGCACGCTTTCTGCCAAGCTCTCCGGTCCGAGGCTATTTTAACAGTCTAGCGTCGCATTCTGTACTTCCACAGGGGTCTTGGGGAGGGGTTTTCCCAGGCCTGCTACTAAAGTTGGAGGCTGATCCTGGGACATGACCCACGACTTCTCTGGTGAAACAAGTTTTGTGCGTTGGGGGTGTTGGATTGTGAGATGACACCCAAGAAGAGCACTACAGATATGGTTAATAGCGCCTATGTGGTGCCAGAGAGAAATAGTGCCTTGTCCCTTGTGTGCCAGTGAGGGACGTGTGTCTTCCTTTGTGGGGTTCTCTGACTGTGGGGTTCCTGATGTTCCGTCTCCCTCAGCAAATGCCCGCTTTGCGTTTTACTAGCCCTTTGGAATTGCAGTACTTTTCAGGCTGGCTGCCTGTTTACTCAGTCCATCCCTCTTGCCTAACAATACAGGGCAGAAGAGCATGGGCGTAGTCAGGGCTTTTGTTGGGGCGGGGGCAGAACCGACGTGATTCGTCAGTTATTTTCATTGTTTTACTTGATGTAGGGACGGGCAGCTGCCCCTCCTGCCCCCCCCCTTTGCTACGCCCATGCAGAAGAGTGGTGATCAGCAAAGATCAGGAGTTGAGTCACAGCTTGTCACGAGAGGGAGCGACCCCAACTGCCTTGAAGATGGTGGTTGTGAGGCCACTCCCAAATAAATTTCCCTAGATCTTGAAATTGTTCCAGCTTCAGGACCAGTTGCAAGTGTTACCATTTGGGGCAAGGTGTTCAGGCAGGTGGTGGCTGTCCAGTTGTTCTTGGATGACCCAGATTAGAGGGAGACTGGCACAAAGTGATCCCCATTAGTTTGCTGGCAGAACATGGATTTGCTCCTAGATTTCTCTAGCTCAAATCTGATGCTCCACAGGAAAGCATGTGATTGACTGAACAAATACAGAGTGCCTTTTCTATGATACCATCACACCTAGTCTCCTTTCCCAACCTTTCTGGATTGCTTGATACTCTTCAATAACCTTTTTGAGATGGGGCAGCTGGAACTGTACCAAGTATTCTCATTATGGGCCCCCTCTAGATGTCCTTTTTATCCTGCATTCCTGGTGATTTGGTATCAGGGCAGTTATACATGATCCTGTTTCCCATATTGTTTTGCGCATGTGCATGCCCTGCTAGCTTCCTGCTGAAATATGAAATTTTTTCATGCCACAAACGTTCAGGAGGAGAGGGGCTTTGTTGTAGTAGCTGTTATTGTGCTGAAGTTCCCCTATAGATGGCAGTAAAGTAGTAACAGTGAAAAAGCATTGCAGAAAAGTAATGAAATGCACTGATACAGTGGTACCTCAGGGTAAGTACTTAATTCGTTCCGGAGGTCTGTACTTAACCTGAAACTGTTCTTAACCTGAAGCACCACTTTAGCTAATGGGGCCTCCCGCTGCCGCCGCGCCGCCGGAGCACGATTTCTGTTCTCATCCTGAAGCAAAGTTCTTAACCTAAAGCACTATTTCTGGGTTAGCGGAGTCTGTAGCCTGAAGCATATGTAACCTGAAGCATATGTAACCCGAGGTGCCACTGTATGTGGATAATCTAGTATGAATCCAGCACTAATGCTCTGTTCAATGACATGTTGCAGAGTACACCCACCTACCGCAAAAAAAAGCACCAGTCTGGAGAGGATGTCATGAGACCTGCAGTCCTATTGGGATTTGGTTGGCATGCTCTGATGAAGTAGGAATAAATGGGGGAGGGGGCTGAAGTGGGATAATCTGGGTTGGAGGAGGATTAGGGGTACCTCCCCTCTCCACCCCAAGTCCAGTTGCTTTGGAAGGGGAAGCAGCTATGCCAGCTCTTTCCTCCAACCTTGCTGCAGAGCAGGAAGCATCAGTAACAGCTAGGAAGGCTGAACAGGAGGTGGCAGCGACTGAACAAGACCCTGAGCAGGAGGGTGCTGCCTTGCCCTCTAGGATCAGGATCTGCCTTCACAAATGGTAACAGATCCACATACCCCAACAGAATGCACATTTGCAGTTCCAACATCGCCACAAGGCAAGATAGTGAGGGCACTATGTTTTAACAGGCAGAGTGTATAAACTTGTTGGAACATTTTTGGTGCTTCCATCCAGTTCTGAATAACTTGCTCTTCTCCTGAACTTCCCAAGTCTTGGGTCTGCTGCTGAGCCTGTACTTCCAAGTAAGAGCTTCTGCTTGCATGTGTTGGATGGGAGTCAGGACAGTGCCCTACAATCCTGCCCAGCAACAGTGTCCTATACTTTTTGCTTTACACCCAGCCTGATGAAAGCCTTTCCTAGCTTCTTTGAGACCTTTCCTTTGGGTATATTAACAGTAGTTTCCCACTGTTATTTTTGGATCATTGAGGGTTATGGTGTTCTCAGTTCTCAGAGTGCCAGTCCTTACATTGCCAAAAGGGTACCATCCACTCATACAAGAGGGAGGTATCTGTAGGCTCTGAGGAACCCCCTGGCCTCCCTGTAACAAAACCTAGCCCACTGAAGTCTTGAACATGCTCAGGATCCATAGAATGCTGAGTGTGTTGAGATGGAAAACATGGGAATGAGAGGGAATGAAATGGAGTGCCCTGGAAGAGGGCATGGCTGGCTAGCTGGAACCCTGAACAAGAGCAGTTCATGCTACAAAGTTTTGTTTCAGTTCCCCCTTCTGGCCAGCTGCAGTTTTGTCTCATTTTCAAAAATGAAGGCAGCAATGTATGGCTGAGGAAGCAAAATAGGTCACAAGACTTTCATTTGCTACTTCTTGCTTATGATCTTCATCTCCCCCCTTCTCTATTTTTGGTTCTATTTTAAAGTCTTCAGGGCTAAGAAACAGACATCATTTGCTGGGCAGAATTGCATTCTCTGCCACCAATGGGAGATATGGCATCTGAGGAAACCAGACCCCTTTTGAGTACTGAGACAGAACTGCCTGCTCAAAGACCCTCTCCGCTGGAGATCTATCTGAGGTGTGTGTATTTATCTGGCTTTTGCTTTTGGAAAACCGTCAAAATGCAGTTGTTCTAGTTATGCCCTGCTGGCCAGGAATATAAGGCTTTGCCAAATATGGACTGAGGGACAAACAAGGTCCTAATGTTGGTTATCTACAAGTCCAGTAGTCAGCCTCTGCCCCTCTGCCCCTTTGCCCTCACACTGTATGAGCTGTTTGTAATGGAGTTTAATGAATGACATCTCTGCTTGCCAGATTCTGAATTGTTGGCTCAACAGAATCACCCTGAGAGGTTTTCCAAATCTGATTGAGAATCTTGGAACAAGAGAGCTTTTCTTCTAAATGCATAATCTGAGCTGTTTCTGATGTTCAGGCATGCCAATCCTTGCACAGCCCAAATGGCACCATTTGTACACAATATAACAGCAGGCTTGGAGGGGGAGTGTTTAGTGGCGGGGGGCAGGGTCCCAAGGGAGGGAAACTCTTTCAAAAGCAGGCCAGTGACGACTGAGCATGCTTGTTATCTGTGGAATGTTGACTGCTGGGAGAGAGATTCAGAAGGTGAGGAAATGGAATGGATAATCCATGAAAAGGGCATGTCTGGCTAGAACACTCCATTCTGCAACATTTGCTTGCTGTTTTTCTTTTTTGGTGTTTTCATTGAGTTCTCTACCACAATCCCAAGATGCTGGTCAGTCATCTCCATTTGAAGACCCTATCATTGTTTTGTGTGAAAGCTGGATGTGAGTGTAGAAGCAACTCTCCCATCCTGCAGTTTCCAGCACCTTGTATTCAGAAGCAGACTGCCTCTGACAGTGGAGGCAGAACATTGTCATTTTGGCTAGTAGCCGTTTATTGGCTTGTGAATTTGCCTAATCTTTTAAAGCCATTTACTGAACCAGCTTTACAAATGGGACCTATTGGGTGACAGTAAAAGGTAAAGGACCTCTGGATGGTTAAGTCCAGCCAAAGGCGACTATGGCGTGCAGTGCTCATCTTGCTTTTCAGGCTGAGGGAGCCAGCATTTGTCCACAGACAGCTTTCCGGGTCATGTGGCCAGCATGACTAAACTGCTACTGGCGCACGGAGGACCATGATGAGTGCCAGAGCACACGGAAACACTGTTTACCTTCCCGCCACAGTGGTAACTTTTTATTTGCTTGGAGACAGTATCACCCATAGAGAAGATGTTATCAGTTATCCCTAATCACATCTTGTTGCCACAGCTGTGCCTTCATAATTGAGTGGGAGCTACACAGCACATCCCTTCCTATTGTCTTACACCAGGGGTGGGGAATGTGGCCTCTTCATTTGACCCTTGGAACTATTCTGGAACTATTCTCTGGTCCTGTGTCTCCCACTCCTCCCGGCCCTGTTTCGCACCCATAATATTTTTGCCTGGCAGGAATTAGTCCTTTAACTTTGACAATGCCCCTTGGTGGAACTGGGAAGTATCCCCCATCTCAATCCCTGGAGGCCAGCTGCCAGTCAGTGTAATGGACTGACTTGGTATAAGGCAGTTTCCTGCAGGCTTAAATATTTGTGTGTTTGGGTGCTAAACTAAATAGATGTAGTGATGGCCACCAACTTGGATGGCTTCAGAAGAGGATCAGACAAATTCATGAAGGGTGTGGCTATCTGTGGCTACTAGCTGCAGTGGCTATGCGTTCTTCCTCCACTGTCACACACCTCTGAATGCCAGTTTCTAGGAATCACAGCTAGGGAGAACACTGTGGTGCTCAGGTCTTGCTTGTGGGCTTCCCAAGACATCTAATTGGTCACTGTGAGAACAGGATGCTGGAACAGGTGGACCATTGGCTTGATCCAGCAGATTGTTCTTATGTTCTTAAACAGTTTCTTTCAAAAGAAAGAGTCAGCGGAAGCACTAATACATCTGCATCTGCAACTGAAAGATCTGAAACAAAAGCGTGTGATCTTTTCAGGTGTCTGCTGAGCTGCATCGTCTGCAAAAAAGGGCAGCTGTTTGTGTGTCTCTCCCCCACCCCCATATTTTTCATTTTCACTTCTTGTGCAGCAAGGTCCAAAATCAGAATCTCTTCCTGGCTACGTTTGCTGCTGTGCTGGGACCACTAAGCTTTGGATTTGTCCTTGGCTACAGTTCGCCGGCTATTCCGAGCCTAAAGAAAGTTAGCAACCCGGAATTAAGGTTGGAAGACATTCAAGCATCTTGGTTTGGGGTAAGTCTTCTGCTCCATAAGCAAAGGAAGGGCAATACTTCAGTGGCAGAGCATCTCCTTTGTGTGCAGAAGATCCTAGGTTCATTCTCCAGCATCTTCAGGTGGAGCTGGAATTGTCCCTTCCTAATACCCTGGAGACCTGCAGCACGGCAGTGTTGATAGCACTTCACTAGATGAACCCCTGTGAAATGACGTTATATAAGGCAGCTTCCTGTGTTCTTCTGTTGGCTTGATAATATGGGGTGGAAAATAAATGCTTATTGACTTGTGCCAGAGTATAGAGACATATGGGACGCAGGTGGCGCTGTGGGTTAAACCACAGAGCCTAGGACGTGCCGATCAGAAGGTCAGCGGTTCGAATCCCCGTGATGGGGTGAGCTCCCGTTGCTCGGTCCCTGCTCCTGCCAACCTAGCAGTCCGAAAGCACGTTAAAATTCAAGTAGATAAATAGGTACCTCTCCGGCGGGAAGGTAAACGGCGTTTCCATGCACTGCTCTGCATGCTGGCCACATGACCCGGAAGCTGTATGCCGGCTCCCTCGGCCTGTAGAGCAAGATGAGCGTGCAACCCCAGAGTCGGGCACGACTGGACCTAATGGTCAGGGGTCCCTTTACCTTGTATAGAGACATAGGAAGGTTTATTGAGTCAGATCATTCTTCCATCTAGTCCAGCACTCTTGATTGTCAGCAGCTCTCCAGAGTCTCTATCTACCTTCTACCAAATCAGTACATCGGCTCATCTAGCTTAGTACTGTCTACACTGACTGTCAGCAGCTCTCCAGGGTTTTAGGCAGAGATTCCCCCACAGTCCAACTTGGAGATGTCGATGATTAAACCTGGGACCATGAGCATGCAAAGCTGATGTCCCACCATAGAGCTAGGGCCCCCTCCCTTAAAAATAAAGGAGGATTCTAGTCCTCAATAGTTCTTGCTGAATCAAACAGGAACATAGGAAGTCACCATATACAGAGCAGGGGAGAGGTGTGTATGTCGCCTCCGAACACCTTGCAGGATAGGTCAGATATAAATGTCATTTATACTGTGCCATAATTGCATACACCAAATCTTGGGTTAGTTAATGTGATCGAAAGGGGCAGGAATCTACAGTCAGAAACTGTTCAGTTGTGAGAGTCAGTTCCTTTTTCCTTTTTCTTTTGCAGTCTGTCGTAACGCTGGGCGCTGCAGCAGGCGGGATTCTGGGGGGATATGTCGTGGATAAATTTGGCCGGAAGCTTACCCTGATGCTGTGTGCCATCCCATTCGTTTTTGGCTTCACAATCATAATCTCAGCTCAGAATGTCTGGATGCTTTATGTGGGCCGGCTACTGAATGGCTTGGCCAGTGGGGTAACATCCTTGGTGGTCCCGGTAAGAGATGGCCTGCCCTGTCCTTTCTCATTGCAGTTTTGTGGAAAGAGAGCCATCTGCTGAATGCCAGAATCTGCATTTTACTGAGTTGGAGACCATTAACCCATCTAGTTCAGTATTATCTATTAAGGGGATGGGGAATTTCAGGCCCAGAGGCCTAATTGCACTGTTAATTAGGGAATTTCAGTACTTGATTCTGATTTTGTCACCTGTATCTACGTACACCTGTCTCTGATTGCCTTGATTCTATAAGAAAAACAGGGATACACTACTGACCCGCCCTCTCTTTTTTCTTGTTGTATTGAAAAAATGCAAAATTCTGCAAATGCAAAAACAAATAAAATATATCCTTTTCTCTGTATGACTTGAACAAGACTCCCTTCCCCTTTTGTCCACGCTGTAGGTATATATTTCTGAAATAGCCCACTCCAAAGTTCGAGGGATGCTAGGATCGTGCGTTCAGCTGATGGTGGTGACTGGCATCTTGGGAGCTTATATAGCAGGTACACCCATGTGGCTCTGTTGTGTTCTTGGGTTTGCACATTTTCTCTTGCACACATCATCGTGGGATACAAGTACACCAACCAACACCTGTGGATGGTGTTGGCACAGAATGTTGTGGGAAACTGAGTGGGAAGAGGGAGTGGAGTACAGTGGTACCTCAGGTTAAGAACTTAATTCGTTCTGGAGGTCCATTCTTAACCTGAAACCGTTCTTAACCTGAGGTACCACTTCAGCTAATAGGGCCTGCTGCTGTGCTGCCACCACGCGATTTCTGTTCTCATCCTGAAGCAAAGTTCTTAACCCAAGGTACTATTTCTGGGTTAGCAGAGTCTGTAACCTGAAGCATCTGTAACCCGAGGTACCACTGTACCTTGAAAGGAGAGGGTATGACTGTCTGCTTTCATACCTTTGAGCATTTTTGCTTGGGTGGAAAGTGTCCTTGAATTCTGATCATTCCTCTTGCTTGCCTGAATGATTGGTAGAGAGTTGGTGTGTGAGAATGTGTGCAGATACTAGCCTACTGTACAAAGGCAATATCTGCATTCCTTTCTCACGTTTGCCTCTGGCCTCACCCACCACGGGCGCCAACGGGCACTCTGTCTTAACGGAATACATCACTTGAATTCTGGGGGAGCTGTTTGCAGCTATAACGTGCACCAGCTTGCATTTAGCCTTCTGGGCATGACAAAAGCTGCCAAGTGTCCTTTATTCCTTGCCCCTAAGAACGGCTCTTCTTCTTTTGGGTCTCCTCCCTCAGGCACAGGGCTGGACTGGCGCTGGCTGGCTGTACTGTGTTCCGTCCCACCATGTTTTATGCTGGTACTTGTGGCTTTCATGCCCGAAACGCCTCGTTTCCTGCTGAGCCGGAATCAGCGGCCAGAGGCCATTGCTGCTCTGCAGTTCCTGCGGGGGCCCCTGGTGGACCATGAGTGGGAATGCAGGGAGATTGAAGTGAACGCCGAAGGACAGGTAAGTGGAGCAGGAACCATACTGAAACCAGGCACGTTCTTGGGTTGCAAGGGTGGGAAAGGTGGCAGGAGAATGCACCTGCCTCTTCTCCCTGCTAGCTCAGCTCTCTCCAGCTTTAGGCTTTTCAGGGGAGGAGGGTAGAAGCCTGAAGTGTTTTCCATCTGGTATAGAGACGCAGGTGGCGCTGTGGGTTAAACCACAGAGCCTAGTGCTTGCCAATCAGAAGGTCGGCGGTTTGAATCCCCGCAACAGGGTGAGCTCCCGTTGCTCGGTCCCTGCTCCTGCCAACCTAGCAATTTGAAAGCACGTCAAAGTGCAAGTAGATAAATAGGTACCACTCCGGCAGGAAGGTAAACAGCATTTCCGTGCGCTGCTCTGGTTTGCCAGAAGCGGCTTAGTCATGCTGACCTGGAAGCTGTACGCCGACTCCCTTGGCCAATAAAGCGAGATGAGCACCGCAACCCCAGAGTCGTCCGCGACTGGACCTAATGGTCAGGGGTCCCTTTACCTTTACCTTTTACCTCCTGGTATAATCTGGCAGATGCTAACTGCCCCCTGACATTCTTTTCCTCTGCTGCTGAACTGCTCAGTAGTCAACCCCTTGCTGGAACTGCACAGGAATCAGCAGCAGTTTTGCAAACAGAACAGGGGGTGGCCTGGTACAGCCACTTACAGTCATGTCCACCCTGTCAGGGGGGCTGGGGTGAGGTCTGCTTTGCCACTTTGCCAGCAGGATTGAACTTGCTGCTCGGCAGCTGATGAGTGGGGAAGGTTCAACCCTTCCCTTTGTAGGGGTCTGCATTGTCATCGTGTTTCTCCCTGCAGGGAACATAGTGGCGAAGCAGCAACTGGCAGCGCTGAACTCTCTGCTCCCCAGCTGATGAGTGAAGGGTGCAATCCTCCACTCTGCAGGGGTTTGTTTTGCTCACGTTTCCCTGCAGGGAACGTGCTGGCAAAACAGTAGCCAGCAGGATTGACATCAGCTAATGGGCAGGTGGGCATGGTTTTGGGGAAATGGCCCAGCCGGCCAAATTGGTTGTCCTCATGGGCCAAGATTCCTAGTTCAGTCCCTGACATCTGCAGCCAGGGTGCTGGGATCTCTACCTCAGACCCCAGAGGGGTACAGTTGCCCTCAACACTGAAACACTGGCTATGTCTTCCTTTGCAGGAGGAGCTAAGTCTGGCCGAGTTTAAGAATCCAGCCATTTACAAGCCATTCTTCATTGGTATCGCCATGATGTTCTTCCAGCAAGTGTCGGGGATCAATGCCATCATGTTTTATGCGGAAACCATCTTTGAAGAAGCCAAATTCAAGGTGGGGGGCTCCTCTGTCCTCTTAACACCTTGGATGCAGCCATTCTCATTCATATCTTGGTCAGATGCCCAAGAATTGGACACAGTATTCCAAGTGTGGTCTGACTAAGACACAATAGAGTGGTACTATTACTTCCCTAGGGCTTCTGTTGATGCAGCCTAGAATAGTATTAGCTTTTCCTTGCAGCTGCATCACACATTTTCAAATATTTGAGATTTTTATTTATTTCTTGCTGTTGTGTGTTTTCAGGAGAGTGGTGCTGCTTCCATCATTGTGGGATCCATCCAAGTCTTTTTCACTGCTGTGGCTGCTCTTATTATTGATAGAAAAGGTCGAAAAGTCCTTCTGGTCGTATCAGGTATTGCAGAAAAGCTATCCTTCCAGTGTGAAGTGTAGGATTCTGTGCCTTTGCAGGTTAATTTAATGTGGAACACCATGAACAGCTGGATAAAATTTTCTGGTGGTGGATGTCCAGCAAGGCACGCTTTTATGTGTTTGAAATAACTAGCCTTAGGGCCTTAGGTCAGTGGTTGGACATAATCCCCAGCATACCCCGGCAGGACACACACACACACTCTCTCTTTGTGCTTGTGTGTGTGTGAGAGAGAGAGGGGGTGGGTGGGAGGCAAAGGATGCTGAACTAGGTGGTCCATTGCTCTGATCCAGCACAGCTCTTGTTACATACACTCTTGTTCCCAAACCGTATACCGTATTTTTTGCTCTATAAGACTCACTTTTTCCCTCCTAAAAAGTAAGGGGAAATTTGTGTGCGTCTTATGGAGCGAATGCAGGCTGCGCAGCTATCCCAGAAGCCAGAACAGCAAGAGGGATTGCTGTTTTCACTGCGCAGCGATCCCTCTTGCTGTTCTGGCTTCTGAGATTCAGAATATTTTTTTTCTTGTTTTCCTCCTCCAAAAACTAGGTGCGTCTTGTGGTCTGGTGCGTCTTATAGAGTGAAAAATGCGGTAACTAGGTGTTCTGTTAACTATTTATCTCATCTTTCCTAGGGTTCATTATGGCTATCAGTGCTGCCATCTTCGCGGTCTATTGCAAAATGGCTCTCCCAGTCCCCATCAACTCCTCCCATGCCAGCCCACCAAGCTCCATTCTGAGTGCTGCTGTTGTGGAAGAAGATCACCACCTTGCGTGGTTGGCGGTGTTGAGCCTGGGCCTCTTCGTCATGGGTTAGTGGGCACTTTTGCTGCGGTTGCTGTACCCACAAAAGCTAGTCTATATAGATCCATCCACCTAGAGAATTCTGGGTCTTTTGGTGCCTTGAGGAGTTTCCCAGCCACGTAGCAAAGGTTGAGTATGCTTTGACTACGTGGATGCTTCCCACACCAGAATGCCCTCTCTGCTGCAGCAGCAGGTGATGCAGACACAGGAAATACACATGTCGGAAGAGTCCTGTTTGATCATGAGAAAGCCCTTGATTCCTCCTCCGCTGGAATCCAGCTTTTTTGAGGTCAGATTAATGACCTGCTTATTGGTAGCCTAGTGCCTGTGGAGCATAGACCTTAGGGGTAGGGAAACTTTCTTCAGCCAGAGGGTCACATTTGGGGGGGGGCAGTGTTCCACAAGGCTCATGTGCTGGTGGTGGGTGGGGCCAGAGTAACACATGTTCAGTTTTACAATAGGCTGGTTTCTACACACATATTCAGACACCCCTCTCTATCCTCCATCCATGCAAGCAAGTGGCATGATCTGAGTTCAATGACACATTCCGGCCAGGCAAAAGTGTGCAAGGAGGGTGTGGGTCCTGGGGTCTTGAAAGCTAGGTGGAGGGGCCTGACAGGGGCTCTTTTGAAGATGCTGTTGAGGGAGCCTCTCCCTGGGTTGCACAACCTCCTCCACATTGCTGTTGCTGCTGGCTGTTTGCTTGCATTGAGCTGCACTACTGCTCAGAAAGAGACAACATATTGTGTGAGTGGTGGTGGATACCTCTCCTCCTTACCATCACTGCTTGCTGACTTGGAGAAGGGCAGGCAAACAGGAAGAGGCAATGAGGAAGGAGAGCAGCAAGGTTGGGTGGCTATGGGGGTTGTTGTGTACCTGCTGGGGTGTGGTCTTAGATACTTGCCAAGCAATGGCTACCCCCTGATGCCAGTCCTGGGCATAGAACTCCTGCCTCACTCAAGTCGACCTCTTAAAAGTACCCTTGCATTATTATTATTTTCAAGTGTGTTTACCCTGCTCTTCATCCAAAAGGCTCCCAGAGCAGCTTATGAAAATTGATAATACAGTCCCTGCAGTCTGTATGGCATGTCATGAAAGGAAAAGGATTGGGAAAGGAGCAGGGGGAAGCAAACTTGGCACTATTTCTTTCTTATAATGGCAGCTATGATGTGAAGAGTTCAACTGAGCAGCCAAAAGTTGCTCCTCTTTAAGCTGAGCTGATGGAGTGGCACTGCTTCTCTTCTCCTCCTTTAGCCTAATGAAATGGCTGCTATCAAGTGACTGTTGATGGAGAGAAGAGCCCAATGGACGCTGGCTTCCAAGCTGAACCAGTGGAGTGGCTCTGCTTCCCTTCTCTCCTTCAGCTACAGCCTGTTGCTAGATAACATGTGAGGAAGAGGGGAAGCCTTGTCTAGTTGTATCTTTCTGGTTTCCAATCAGGGTTGCCTGTTCATTACTGATCTTGCTCAGTTCAGGGAAACCTCTGCTAACTGTGCTCTCAATGAGTTCGCTTTCTCCTTCCTCTGCAACCTACAGGCTTTGCCTTGGGCTGGGGCCCGATCCCATGGCTGTTGATGTCTGAAATATTCCCTCTCCGAGCTCGAGGCGTAGCCAGTGGTGCCTGCGTCTTAACAAATTGGCTCATGGCTTTTCTGATCACCAAGGAGTTCCATGACCTCATGGTAAGCAAGGATCACAGCAGAATGGTTTACAGCAGGAGTGGGAACAGTGGCCCCCATTTTCTTTTCAGCAACCTTCTGGGGACCACGTGCCAGTGGCAAAAATGGGTTGTTGGATTCTTTTTGCCTACCATATGCAAGGATCCTGCTAGGGTGAAAAGCGGTAACCACGTTGTGACGTAGCCAGTGGAAGGACTAGGAGTCTCGGCTGCTTTTGCGACAGAGTTCTCATGCTTACTGAGAGCATCAGCCTGTGTCTGCAGTTACTACAGACATGCTAGGTTTCTGCATGCAGGGATATTCTGGATGAGAAAACATTCTCTTATGTTGGGCATGGGGAACCTTTGACCCTCTGGATGTTGCTGAAGTACAACTCCCATGAGCCCTAGCAAGTGTGGCTGATGGCCAGGGATAATGTAAGTTGTCATTCATCTACACCTAGAAGGCCAAAGGTTCCCCATTTGCCATCTCAAGAGTACAGCTCAACCACCTTGGTACTGCTTCTGGTTCTTAATCAGACATCTCTTTCTCTTCTGCCCCAGGTCTTCCTGACGCCTCATGGTACTTTCTGGTTGTTTTGTGCCATGTGTTTCTCCAACGTGCTCTTTACCATACTCTTCGTTCCTGAAACCAGAGGGAAAAGCCTAGAAGAGATAGAGGCCTACTTCCAAAGATCACATTAGCTGTTTGCAATCTTAGTGGGAGAACTTTTCCCCTTGGTCTTGGACTTAAGGTGTGGGTGGTGGTGGCTGGTGGGACCCAACCCTTCTTCAGAGATTTGCACAAATGTAAAGTCTTCACCGGGTTCAACTGGGTCCAGAGAACTGTCTGGGGTGTAGGTGTGGTCAAGATGAAAGGCAGGTTCATTTTGTGTGGGCAATGACCTACCACTTTTCAGTATTACAGCACTACATACAGTATTACAGAACGGCAGGCACTGTTCAGTTTTCTGCCATCTAGAACAAGGTGATTAAGAATTGGTTTTGAACAAAACATTGCTTTTCTCTGTTCGTTGGCCATGTTCTGTGTGGCCAGCCTTTTCTTCTTCTGCTGAGGACTGTATTCCTCGGGAGGGGGGGACCTGATGGGAGGGTCATCCTGGTAGTAGGTGGGGCTAGAGCCAAAAGTGGGTGCCCTCTCCCCTGGGCTCAACCTCTTCCTCTTTCTGCCATCACTACCTCTCTCTGCTGTCACTTCCTTTCTCTCTGTGCCTAGAAAGCTCTCACGAACTACCTTCTAATTCTGTGTAATCTGGGCCTACTCTATAGGTGTAGAGGAGTGAGGCAAAGAGTCCTGAAAAGGCACATTGAGCATTGCACACAACGCGCACAAAAAACCTAGCAAAAGAGGGAAACAGGGTCTGACTTAGCCAACGTCACCAGACTATTTTGCACCCCAAGGTTTCTCACACAAACAGCAGCATTTTAAAATGAGATGCACCCATGCTGTCTGAAGTGGTATGCTACCAGTTCTTTCCATGGTATGTGTAGATTTTAATGCAGAGGGGTTTAAAGCGGCCAAAGGTTTGTTCTCATTTGCACACGAAACGTTAGACTTTGGCAATCACGTGGGATATTTTTAAATGAATGGGTTCGGCATACTGCTGCCCACTATTGCCCCCTCCTCTGGTTCTTGAGTCCTGTTCTGGAGGTTAGAAATGCTGAAACTGGGAAATGATAAATCTCATTCCCATGATTGCATTTCTTGTCAATCTCTGCCCAAAGGTGACTCCATCTAAAATCATGTGATGGGGTGGATAGGGATTGGACCCAGTTCTGCTAGTAAGGTTCCAAAGTCTTCGTTTCCAGACTTCTAATCTTGTTTTGTGGAATAAAGGTTCAAGGATATGGTGCTATGTGGAATAAACCAATATATTGAATTCCATCTGATGCTTTGGGCAAATCATCTTTGTTTTATTAATGTTCCGTAATGTGCCGTAAATAACACCGAGGGACAAACTAGGGAGGTCTACTGTCCCATTTTTTGACCAGAACGTAAACTTCTGCTCATCAACTAGTTTTCCAGGATGTTGAGTTTATGGGGGGGGGGAGCTTCCAGGTCAGGAGTGGGGATTCATGCACATTCCTCTCTCCCAGTTAGAATTCATTACAATTTCTACTTTCAAATCTATTATTAAATTTCCTCCTAGACACATTTTTCACTTGGGTCTGCTGCACTGAGTCGGTCATCCTTAATCTGAAAGGTGTAGAATGGAGTATAGGAATGTGTGTGCCGTTTTTGTGGGCTTGTGGTAGAAAAAACACACTGGAGGATTTCTCCCACCCAGTATCTAGTAACTGAAATATTGGGCACAATCTAACCAATTCATTAGTGAAATTGTTAACCAGAATATGTTATTACGTATTTTATTATGAATTGCCTTTTTAATAATGCTTATTTTTTTACATTTCTTTTAAAACAGAGTAGAGATGGCTTGGGGTTTTATTTTTAAGGTGCACTTTATAAAATGGTTTTGAGGTTTAGATGTTTCTACTGAGTAAGAAATCTTTGATGGCAAAGGATTTCCCCCCCAAATATATACCAAAATAATTCTTTCTTTCTTTCTTTCTTTCTTTCTTTCTTTCTTTCTTTCTTTCTTTCTTTCATCAAGTGTGGGGAATTTTTGACCTTTCAGATGCTGCTGAACCACAACTTGCATTGTTAGTGAGCAACACCTAGCAGACACATGCCTGGTGCATGTTTTAAGTCTTTCTGCCTGATCCTGTGAATGTCTCCTCAAATGCAAGTCCCACACAATTCAATGAGACTTGCAGGTGTGGACAAGATTGCTTTCTCCGCCCCCGCCCCCCAAATATCAGTGTCAAGGAGTGTGTCCAACATGAGTGATAACAATCTATGGTGTTGTCTATCTTATGTTTGTCTCATTTGTTACACACATGCACCCCAAGGGGGCAGAAGAAGAGACCAAATGTCATAAATATTTATTACATATCAAGGAAGTAAAGAAAAGAAAAACCCTACAGTTCATTTTACAGCTGTGGTCTATGGAACTTTTAGAACAGATTTCTGCCATTATATTCGTATTGTGATTCTCTTTCTTTACAGGCTACATTTGAAAACACAAAAGAGGGAAAACAATAATAAAAATAATAACAATACATTATTACTTTAGCATTTAAAAACAATGGCAATACAATCGAGTTTAAGACACTTGGTGGTAATTTAAACTTTGAGACTCACAAGAGGGGAAGCCACAGCCCAACAGTACATAATCGGTGAAAAGTACAAAACCCCACTAGATAACAGTCAAGGGACAGGATCCAGCAAAAGTTTGGTGCGACGAAAGCAGCAGCCTTATGGATGATGACCTAAGGACTAAGCTTGATGGAACACATTTGCACCTGTTTCCAAGTAAACATGCAGAGGATGGGAAAGGGCTGTAGCTCAGGGTCAGAGCTAGGCTCAAGCCCTGGAATCTCCAGGTAGTGCTTGGAAGGCAACCTGTCCAGGATCTTGGGCTGCTGCTGCCAGTAAATGCAGACACTACTGAGCTAGGTAGACCTAATGGTCTGACCCAGCACAAGGCAGCTTCCTATGACTATTGCAAGGCGGGGTTCATGAAACGCACTTTCCAGAAAACAAGGCCTGATTCCCCTGAGACTTAGTTCTGAGGAAACTTGCATAGGCCTCAGATTTGCCCAATTTCACTGAATTCATACGGACTTAATTGTGCCTACACGGGTTGACTCCGCAGTAAAGCCCAGTCACTGCTAGAATAGAGGCGTAGAGAGCCTAATGAAATCCTCAAGCTCCACCGAACTCCCCCAATTTCAGGCAAATCACCCCTCCTACACACACAAGTCTCTCCTAACAGCAGGGGTTAAGGAAACCCATCATAAAAAGGAAGCCCCCCAACAACTTGATAGGGGGTCCCACGACTGCAGCTTTACTCGGAAGTCAGTTCCCTTGCCAAAGAAGGCTGCTTGTCGCCAACCATGAGTTGTGCTGGATTCTGCTTGAGGGCTTTTTATAAGGAAGGGTGGGGGGGACAAGCAACCAGGGTAGACAACAAATTTGTTTTATACAAACGTTAGCATTTGTGAGTGCTTTCCGTCTGGCAAGAGAAATACATAATAAATATTAGGAAGTCCAAACCTGCAGAAAATAGTAACACCCCACCCCCACCCCCTTTTTTTTAAAAAAAAGAAAGATAAAATCCTGCTCACTTGGACACACAAGAATGCCACTGGGTTGTGGTGGGGGAAGGAAATGTGGACCTTCGGGTTTATCAAGTGTCAAATGGCACAGACAGGACAGACATGCAAAGGTAGGGGTGTGTGTGTGTGTGAGAGAGAGAGAGAGAGAAAGAGAGAGAAAGAGATTAATGCTACAATCACGGCAAGGACCTTTAGTGCCACAAGGACTGGGTTGTAAGAGGCAAACTTTGCCAACTATTCTGGCAAATGATGTTCCTTGCTTTGAGATCTATTAGATCACAGACTTCTTTTTTTATTTGGCAACAGTGGATGGTCTGGGGGCAGCGAATGCTGTTGCATCACCTGGGCACCTACTGTAATCAGACTTTTTTTTTGGAGACAGCTCTTTCGGAGGAAGACCGGATAGAAAAGTATAGATCATCTGCACTAGTAAGGTTTGAGAACAAGCCTGAGTGCTGGCTTTGTCCTCCAGAGCTGCCTTTGCAAACACAAAGATATAGTCAGAAAAAATGAGATGTATTGGATCTATTGGACTGGCTGGTGACAGAGCAGATGTGGGAGACCTGCACATATAACACCCCCTTAGGAACAGCTGGAACTTCTTGCGAGCTGGAAGTAGGGGCTGTTGTGACAGCAGCAAGCGGACCAGTCTTCTCCCCTCAGCATGATCGAACACTTCAAGCACAAATGGATAAACAAAGAGACAAATCCAATTTTCAAATGTTCCCAACTGATAGGAAGGGCAAGGGGAATGAGCTTACTATTCAAAAGTAAGCTGCAGACAGGGGACGATGCCACTGCAGTTATTATTACCATTAGGTAATTACCATTACCAAACAGAACTAAACCACAATTTCCAAGGTTGTACATGTTCTTACAACCTCATCCCTATAGCAGAACACTCATTTAAGAGACACAGTCACTCACCTAAGGCTACCTTGTGAGTCGGTGGCTGCAACCAGAGAGGGAGAGAGGTCCTTGTGAGAACTGACTCTTGGGGGGGGGGGGAGCAGTGGGAAGAGAAGCACAGATTGTACTGAGGCCACAGTGTTTAGAGGAGGCTGGTGACCTTCCAATTAAAAGCTGCCGTGCCCCCCAAAATGTCTCCATCTCCAGGTACCGTATAGATAACTATATAGTTATTGTCACGGAAAGAGAAAATGCAAGGTATCGTCAACAGGTCCAGAAAGCCAAAAAGAGGATTCATCAGCAACATTCTAGCATTAGTGCTCCCTAGTTACCAAACAAATAGCTACATCAAGACGAAGAAGGAAATGCCAGATGTTCAGTTATGGAATATCTCAGAGGAGTGGGGTGTGCAGGAGGAGCTTTAATCCCCCCTCCCCCGAGCCAAACCTATTTCAAGCCAAGCCTCAAAGGGCCATAATCACTCAGTGGTAGAGAATCTGCTTGACACACAGGTTGAATCCCCAATGGAATCTCCAGGCAGGCCTGGTAAGGACACCTTCCTGAAAGCCACTGCCAGTCAGTGTAGACAACAGTGGGCTAGATAGACCAATGGGCTGACTGGGGATAAGGCAGCTTCCGATGTTCTTATTTAATTCAGCCCTTTGTTCAGAATGATGAGGACTAGAATCTTACTTTGCTTTTAAGGGGCTAGAGCTCTGTTGTTAGAACACACACTTTGTATGTAGAATGTTCACAGTTCAAACCCTAGCATCTCAAGAATGTCTGTAGCTGGGAATGTCATTGCCTGCAACCCTCATAGACTGCTGCTATTCAGTGTAGATAATACTGAACTAGAGGGAACGATGTACTAGTTCGGTATAAGACAGCCTTCTAGGTGCCAAGCTGTTGCAGCTGCCCATAGGACTGGCCTACATCTTACACACTGACCCCACCCAAGCAGTTTTCTCATAGGGAGCTTCCACCTCCTAGGGGACCATGTACCTGATGTAGTGCCTTCCTACCATGCTCTGATCTGTAACAAATGCTGCTGCTGGGATAAAATCCACTCTGCAGTGAGGACATTCCCTGTGGCACGTTTTCAAGCAGGGCTTGCACTAGAGAGATCAGAATTGCCAGTGGGAAGATGAATGAGGGTGCTGGAAAGGGATGATGCCGCTTAGATGTTGACATGAACCTACTTGATGTGGTGTAACTCCCAAGTTAGAATTTCTTGTGCAGGAGCAAACAAACAAACAAACAAAAATGTCTCATTGGAAATGAGACAAGGATGTGGCCTACAATGGCGAAGGAGGGAAATAGGGGGAAATGATTTCATTTAAGCAGAGGCATCAAGCCAGAGTCTCAGTTCCTCCATCAAGGGCCCAACAAGGTCTAAGGTAGGTGGTGGGAATTTCTGGCCCTCCGGCTGTTGATGGACTGTAACTCCCATCATCCCTGACGACTGGCCACACTGGCTGGGGCTGATGAGAGCTGTAGTTCAAAGACATCTAGAGGGCCAAAGGTTCCCCAACACCAAAAACCTCCCGGTGCTTTTTGTTTTTATTTAAGAAAAGCTGGGTGCTTTCGCATGCAAAGTTATGTGCTCTAACTACTCAGATGTACAGCACTTCTGTTGGTAGGGATTCTACAAATCTGGAAAAGGCTCTGCCTAACTCTCCTCCCATGTATGTGTGGAGGGAGGAGTCATCCACATGTCAGCTCAAGTTAAGAGCTTCTAGGTAAGAGAGTAAAAGGTGTGGCTTCATGGCTCAGCAGGAACATGAGCTTTTGGACTTGACAAATGAACTTGGAAAAAGCCAGATTTGGAAAGATAGTTTGGTTTGGTTTGGAAATGGGGGGTTGGATAGACCCCGCTATGCAGGGATGTTTGGACCTTTCAAGTCTGGCAATGGGCCGTGAGATGTTTGGGGTTGTGGGGGCTCTTAATTTTGGAGGGATTTTGAAACATGTTCTTAAATACCACATGGAGTTTAGTGTGGACTATGGAAAAGGGGCTGATTTGTCAAGAAGGGTCAAAAACATTGTTAAGCTGGAGTTCCCACGAGTGAAAGGAGCAGGAGACAAAGGAAAATACAGCTATAAATATGAAGAAGAGCTGCGGAAGGGACATGGAAGAGACTTAAGGGCCTCGGATACAAGGTTACCAGGTTAATGCGCTAGATCAATGGGATAATAAGGACTGACAAAACCCGGGACCAGGAGGAAGGGACGCTGGATGAAGACTGGATTGTTTTTATTTCTGTTTTTTACTACTAGGATTGTTTTATAAAATTGATGAATGTTAGAAAAATGTTGGAACGAAATTACTTGGCTTTAGCAAAAATGTTTAAAGAATTATGTAAGAATATTATGGTTATGAGAAGTTGGTAAAAATAAGATTTAAGTTTTAAGCTTTAAGGTTCTTTATAGTAAGATAAGATTAAAATAGATTAAGGTAATGTAATGACAGAATATTATGAAATATGGAAAGGATTTGCTGTGACAATTAACAACTAGGATACAAAAAAAGGGAGGAGGAGGAGGTCAAAGAAAGAAGGTAATGACAGTTGAGGATTTGAGAATGATGGATTTGTTTTTGAGTGTTTGTAGTGCATTTTTGTTTTTTGAATTTGTACTGTTTGATGTGGTTTGTTTTTTCTTTCTTTTTTCTGCTTTGTTCTCTTTTGTAATTCTAAAAATTTTCAATAAATATCATTTTTTTAAAAAAGAAAAGGTGTGGCTTCTTCACTCACACAGTTCTTAAGCCATCATTAGTTTCCTACTGTGAGTGATTGAGCTGAATCTGGGACTCAGTAGGCCTGTTAATCAGGCTCAGACAGGTGACCAATCTCACTTGCTACTGGCAATGCCAACTGGCTGTCAAGATAGCAACATCACAAAGCACTATGATGCTTGGGGGCGGGGTGTACACACATGACATTGCATTCCTTTTCCCTATGCAAAGAGGAGGCCTGAGTTTGTCAGACTTGAGATCCCGCCCACCCCATCTCACCTGAACAGCAACTGCAAGCTTTTCCGTTGCTAAGGGTTCAGTCCACTTGCATCAAGTTGGAAAGTTAAGTCGTGCAGCTTCTGCACATACTTGAGCAGGCTACATGCAACAAGCTAACCTGTACAGCTATGTTGTCACCTTTAGTAGATGCCATGGCTCCTGTATCTAATGGGCACAATGTTGAACTGTTTTAATTGCTACAATCATCTCACCAAGGATGGATCAAGTGCTCTGTTCTACTGGCAAATATAAGGCAATTGTGTAATAGAGGGGACAGAGGGGCTGGACTCATGGAATATTGGTGGGCAAAGGAGGTAGGAGAAGGGAAGCTGCAACTTCGAAATCTGCAAGCAGGAACCAAGCTGAATTTCACACCTCTGCCCTGCTAGGATCCCTTTCCAGACCCACCCACTTCCAGTCCCAAAGCAGACACATGCCTTTGCCATTTAAAAAAAAATACCCTGCAATAAACCTGTTTTTCTTTAAAAATGAAAAGTTAACCATTCTATCACACGGCAAGCTGAAATCTCTCTCATCTATTGCTATGCCGTAAAAGCCCTGCTTTGTGGCAAAGGCAGGCCGTTCTGTCCTTTTTCTAAGCACATCGTTAATTAAAAGTATTGCTTCGTTTATTGATCAGTTGCTTTAAGAGCAGGAAAATAAATAAATACATACATACATAAGAAAGACTCCGTTCCCTCACCCCCCATGGAAGCAAGATGGGATCCCTCACAGGACAGGTAGTTTAAGTTGATCTGTGTGAAGTTGTATAAATCAGTGTCTGCAACTTTATAAAAAGAACAAGAAGGAAATGAATCAAGAGAAGGTAAGTGGGGAGCAAAGGCCTTTGGGGTTCAACACCTCCCATGTGGCAGGAGCATCTATTCTGCAGACGGAGAACTATCATCAAATGGTCTTTTCCATGCTGCACCAGCTTTCCATATCCAACTTCCATTTTCTTCTCAGAAAACAGCAGTGTGTGGACAGCTAAGGGCAATGTGAGAGGGAAGACAGGTTGTTGTCTTTGAGATTTCTGAAAGGGGGGGAGGGAGGGAGGGAGGGGAGAGAGAGAGAGCGAGAAAGAGAGAAGAGATTTCCCTTCCCATGCAGCATGCACACACCGGTAAATCTCTTCCCTGTTAAAGAGGTTTGGCAGGTTTTGGAAATACAAATGCCCCCCAAAGTCTGTTCAGCAGAAGCAAGAGGAGTGTAAATGCCCTGGAGCAGTGCTTCCTCTTCAATGCATCCCCCACACCCCAGGAATGCAGCTCTTACCTGGTGTCTGTGGATAATCATTTTAGCTAATCAGCAAATGTGCCAATAGTCCTGAGACCAGGACGAGGGTTGCCTGCTCACTCAAAACATTTATACTTTTGGAGGGCACAGAATTTATTTGTAGTCTGATCATCCCAACCTTTTTTTTTTTTGCTGTGAATGTGAGGAAGAGTTTCGCCATTCACGTCTGCATCAGCTACTCCAAATAAAGTATCCAGATTGCCAAGTGAGTGCGGGGAAGGAACTGGGGCAAATTAATGGTTTAAGACGTTACTTAAAACACTACAACCTTCCCTGGCTACCTGCTATGCTAGTCTGAAGAGATAAGGACCGCTGTTTAATCACAGTAGATTAAACTGATTAAAAAGTCTTTCTAATCAGGTAACATAGATTTTATTTTTTGTTAAATTAATAATTTTTAATTTAAGTACGTCTTAAAAATTGCAGATGGTCATAGAAGGATCATCCCCTTCACACGGGTGGGTGGGTGGGAAGGCCTATTCTGAGATGGTGCGTCCTGTGACATATGGATGCATCATTCAGAAATGATGCTGTTTGTGAGTCTTCCTGGGCAGCATGATGAAAGAAGAGGAAGGGCGCAGAGCTTCTCTTTGGCAAAAAGAGGAGCTTGGGAAGATGGGGAGCCTGGAAGCTAAATCCTACTTTGGGTTAGTGGGATGTACAGCACCCAACTTTCCCTCTTCCTCATTCCTAGCCCTTTAGCAATGTAAGAGAGAGAGAGTGAAGCTTTCCCCTCCTCGGCCATCTCCCTCCCACTTATAAAGTTGTTGCAACAAACCAAGCAAGGGAAATGTCACCCTCTCTCCTGTTGCAGGAGATATGGGTCCTCCTCCGAGGCCACGTGCCCCCAGCCAAAGTTCCTATTGCAGCACAGCTTGCTGGCTTAGGGAAGGGCCCTAGCTCAGTGGTGGAGAATCTGCTTTGCCTGCGGAAGGCTCCAGGTCTAATCCCTGGCATCTCCAGGTAGGATTTGGGATGACCATAGTCTCAAACCCTGGAGAGTTGCTGCTATTCAGTGCAGACGATACTGAGTTAGATGGACCAATGGTTTGACTGGTATACAGCGGCTCCCTATGTTCCTACAAAATGTGTTGGGGGGGGGGCTTAGGAGGATCTCCCAGCTTTGTGTCACTGTGGAGTTTATAACAAGTTCTCCGATTCCCCCAAATGTGGACAGCCTTTTTAAACTGAAAACTAATGTTTAAGTCATATACGCTTTAATCAATTAACTGATTAAAACTCGTCTGCTCCACCAGCTGAGATTCCTGTGATGGGGTGAGTGCCCTAATATTCAACCAAGGAGAATAAAATATGCTACGTCCCACCTGCCCTTTCCATCTCAATAAGCTGGAAATACTGGGCATTCTAGATCTTGATTGCCTATGTATATATTCTGTACTCCAGAATTATCAGAAAATGTAGTGTGATGTTTCTATACTGTTTAGAGAGTCATAACAAATGGGGGGTGGGGGGTCTGGGAAGGTGTGCAAGTGCTGTGTCCAGATTGTCTTCACTTCAAGTCAATGATGTCTTCGTCAAAGGAAGCCCCAAGCTGAAAGAGGCTGCTGGACTGGGGGCTCTCGTCCCGTGTAGTGGTGTCGGGGTCTGAACTGGTGGAGAAGTGGCGCTCTTCAGAAGTGCTTTCGAAAGAGCATGCAACGAGCCTGTGGAGAGGAAGGCAGAAATCAAGAAAGGAAAATTCAAGCACCCCTCACCTCCGCCACAAAAAAGATCCATAACCTGTGATCACAGCAGATCAAATGTTTATTCTCTCTTACCATGTACAGTTCCTTCCATTTGCTAGACCAGGGCAGTTCAACATTTGACACCTCCCACAGCCCTTATGTTGCCTTCCCAAAGCCAGGGAAGGATGACAGCTCTGACAGGATCCTAGAGTGCTCTCACCTCCATCCCAAAGCCTAATTAGCACCTTCCCAGCTGGGTATGTGTCAGGTTTTGGCCTTGCTCACCCCGCCCCCCCACGACAAGGCAGTGTGTGGCCTAGGGGTTCCATGTTAAAGTACTCATGGTCCACTTGCTATTAAAAGTTGGGCCACCCTGTGCGGCCTAGGACCCACAAACCTATGGGACCACCTCTCTTGGTATGCCCCGCAGAGGACCTTAAGGTCCACAAATAACAACACTTTGGAGGTGATGGCTTCAGACAGAGGAGGGCTAACATAGCCATTGCGGCTAGTAGCCATTGATAGCTTATCCTCCATGAATTTGCCTAATCCTCTTGGTTGGTGGGACGCGGGTGGCACCGTGGGTTAAACCACAGAGCCTAGGACTTGCCGATCAGAAGGTCGGCGGTTCGAATCCCCCTGACGGGGTGAGCTCCCGTTGCTCGGTCCCTGCTCCTGCCAACCTAGCAATTTGAAAGCACCTCAAAGTGCAAGTAGATAAATAGGTACCGCTCCAGCAGGAAGGTAAACGGCGTTTCCGTGCGCTGCTCTGGTTCACCAGAAGCGGCTTAGTCATGACCCGGAAGCTGTACGCCGGCTCCCTCAGCCAATAAAGCGGGATGAGCGCCGCAACCCCAGAGTCATCCGCGACACGACCTAGTGGTCAGGGGTCCCTTTACCTTTACTTGGTGGTCTTAACTACATTTTGTAGCACATGTACCTTACATGTAAGGTAAGAAGAGCCCTGCTGAATAAGGCCAAAGGACCACCTAGTCTAGCATCCTGTTCTCACAATGGCCTACCAGATGCCCTAATGAGAAGCCTGCAGGTGGAACCGGAAGCAGAACAGCACTCTCCACCAATTACAATTCCCAGCAACTTGTGTCCACAAGCATACTGCTTCAAGCAGCCGGAGAGTTCTCCTTTATGCAGCTCTAGCTATGTGTGATTTGGATCAAGACCTTGGATGGGGGCGGTGGTGGTTAGAAGCCTCCCACCCCTTGCTGCTGGCAGGTTTTACAAAGAATTAAAGGAAGGCATTCAATTGGGAGTATGCAACATGATTCTGACCTAATAGGCAGTTTAGGGGCTGCAGATGCAATGAGAATATGGACTCTTGTTCAGAGTGCTGCTTCTGCCCCTCAATGAATTGCACCTTTCTATATGTTACCTGTCACTACTTGTTGACCGTACTGTTCCTGGCTTGGGGTCTGACTGTTTCTGGGGGGTTTTCTTCTGCTTCTGTCCTCCCTCCGACTTGGGACCTTGGCCGTCTAGAAGACCTGGATGAAGAAGAAAGGAATGCTTCTGAATTCTCAGAGTAAAGGAAATGGAATTGTTTCATTTGTCAATGACTAATTCCACCTGGCTGTTCCCCAAAGGGGCCTCCGAGGTGATCACTGGTAAGTGTAATACAACAACAGACGGGGGAATCTATAAATCGTCTTGCTGTCCTCACTGTAGTGAGCCTTTTGCTGCCTTTGGCAAAGGGTGATGAGAAGTCTCTTGGCTTTCCTCTCCAGCTTGGACCACTGCCATAGTGCTGAGCTTTGCTGGTCAATGACAGGGGAGATCACTGCCCTCCTCTCCAGATCCAAGCTGGCGAGAGAGGCTGGGATTCGCCATTTGGGGTGCCAAGGGGTCTAAGGCTCTTTAAGTGCCTTGGCAACTTAGTTACAAATCACAAGCTCCAAATTTGGAGCTGGAAGGGTGGCAGAGCAACAATCCCCACCAAAAAGGAGCAGATTGTCCCTGATCTCACAATGCAGGGGCACACAGTTTGAGGTCAGATTCCTGACAACCAGAGGGCTTGGCTACCGTATTCTGCTGAAATCTGCAAGCCCCTGAACAGACAAGCAGACTAGCCCATGCCACAGTGAAGAGATTCAAGCGAGCCTGAGTGAGGAATCAGTACCTGCAGTGTCAGTCAATAGCATCTTGACTTCATGCTTAAAGAGTAAGAAAGCAGGAGGAAAGGGGGCAAGCAATGTTCCTAATACAATGAACTCCAGCACCAGGGTGTTGCATTTTCACCCAACATAGATCATGGCTACATCCAAATATCTCAATGGGCCTGGCAGTGCTGCCGCCAGGATCCCTTGCTGCCTATGCCCCTGGATGGCCCTATTACTTTACCAAGTAATTCTTTGCGTGTCCGGGTTGCGATTTCTTTGATCTCTATGCGCGACAAAGAGAGGGAAGGAGCGACAGGGATGGAGGCGCTGCTGGCCGACGTCGGGGTGGTGATGACTTTGGGGACCAGGGGGGACTTGAGTGGGCGTTCGATGCTCCTGCCGACCAGGTTGCTCAGGGGGATCTTGTAGATGTTTTTGCACAGAGCTTCACCTGAAGTGACAAGGAGGAGGAGGGTCGTGGAGCAGGAGTTGACTATAAGCAGGCTTGCGGGTGAGTTGGCGGTCCACAAAAAACCTCTTTTACCCTCCTTATAATAATAACAATCATTTATTATTTATATGCTGCCCATCTGACTGGGTTGCTTCCAGCAAATTATAAAACCACAGTAAAACATTGCACATTAAAAACTTCCCTATTTGGGATGCCTTCAGGTGTCTTCCAAAAGTCAGATAATTGTTTGTTTCCTTGCCATCTGGTGGGAGGGTGTTCCAAGGGAGGGTGCGACTACCGAGAAGGCCATACCCATGTGCCCTGGTTCCCTGTACCTCACTTCTCACAATGAGGGAACCGCCAGAAGGCCCTCGGAGAAGGATCTCAGTGTCCGGGCTGAACGATGGGGGCGGAGACACTCCTTCAAGTATACAGGACCAAAGCTATTTAGGGATTTAAAGGTCAGCAACAAAACTTTGAATTGTGCTAGGAAATGTACTGGGAGCCAATGTAGATCTTTTAGGACCAGTGTTATATGGTCCCGGTGGCAGCTCCCAGTAACCAGTCTGGCAGCCGCATTCTGGATTAATTGTAGTTTCTGAATCACCTTCAAAGGTAGCTCCACATACAGCACATTGCAGTAGTCCAAGCGGGAGATAACCAGAGTATGTACCAATCTGGCAAGACAGTGTGCGGGCAGGTAGAGTCCAAGCTGGTGTACTAGATGGAGCTGGTAGACAGCTGCCCTGGACACTGGTGCCCTTGGCTTGTGCCTCCATGGACAGCTGTGAGTCCTTTAGGGGCACAGTTACTCCATTCCGGACCAGGGAGTCCCCCCACCTGCCCGCCCCCTGTCCCCCAGAAACAGTACTTCTGTTTTGTCGGGATTCAACCTCAATCTGTTGACTGCCATCTACCCCTCCCCCCAACCACCTACAGACACCCACACAGGATGTTCACTGCCTTCACTGGTTCTGAATTAAAAGAAAGGTAGAGCTGGGTATAATTCGATTACTGGTGAACACCCAGCCCAAACCCAGCGGTTTCATATAGATGTTAAAAAGAATGGGGGAGAGTTTGGAGCCCTGGGGCACCCCACAAGTGAGCGCCATGGGGTTTGAACATTAATCCCCCACCACTACTTTCTAGACACAATCTAGGAGGAAGGAGCGAAACCATTGCCCCCAGCCCTCCTAGTTGGCCCTGGAGGATACTGTGGTTGACAGTATCAAAAGCTGCTGAGAGATCCAGCAGAACCAGGAAACAGCTTTCATCTCTGTCCCTAGCCCACCAGAGATCATCAACCAGCATGTCCAAGGCAGTTTCAGTCGCATGGTGGAGCCTAAAACCCGACTGGAAGGGGTTTAAATAGTCCACATCCTCCAGGTGTGCCTTATTGATTTATTATTTTTATTATTTTTCTAATTTGTTATTTTTTTCCTTACCACACTGTATTACAAAAGTAATATTGACTGAAGCATAAACATAAATTAAACCCTTCCCCCCTTGAATAGTATTTCAAATTACATTCCTTGAACAGTATTTCAAATTACATTTCTTAAAGCATTCTACAAAAAGGATTAAGAATCTTCTATGTAACGTAATATTTGATCTACTATAATATACAACACTATTTTTTCCTTTATAGTGTTCATTGTTTTCTATAACCTATAAGTAAAACAAATGACTCCATTAATTAGATCCACATTTCA